CCTGTGAGAGCATCTTCTTGGTCCGAGGCATGCTTCTCTCGAATTTGGCCAATGCATTGAAGACAGCGGGCAACTTTCCTGGCAAAAACTCTCGTGTATAGTTCCGTGTATTGGGACACATTCATACGGCCTAAGTCTGGATGATGGAATGAACCCTCAACTGAATCATGTTCATGGTCACGGGAACATCTCATGGATTCAATGACCTGTTTCATAATTTGGGAAGTCGTAATGATTTGGGTCCCCTTTTTCAGCAGTTTACCGGAAATCGGATGCTTCAGCTGACCTGCACGGCACATGTCGCAGACGGCTCTCCAGCCATGGTTGACAATGGCTGACATTTCCTCTTGATAAATCATTTGGGATCCATGCGGTTGTTCCAAGTGAACATGGCATTGTGGACTTCGCCACAGCTGGAATTGGAACAAAGCATCACACAAGAGCAGGTGAACACGGTCATCTTCTCGAGCTTGAAAAATGCGTTGGGCAGTTTCAGGGCTTTTGGACATGTTAAAAATGTTCCATCGACACCATGCTCTGCATTTTGGGGATAACCAAATGTTCCGAGGCAAAATTCTCAGCAGGCATTTGTACAGCCGTCGTCGGCCTTCCATGGTGGCCAGATCTCCATCTTGCAAACAAAATCTCTCAGCATGTAAACCTAGCTGTTGGGCCTGCTTAGTCAATTCACTGTCGGAGCTGCAATAAATTTCCATGACATCGGATAAGTTCTTGGCATACCTCTGAGGATTCTTGAATACTCCTTGTTGAGAAAAGAAATTCCACATTTCACGGGCCACCCAATTATCTTCCCTGGTGAGTAGAATGCTTTCCCTAACTCCTACTTCGGACATTGGGTCAAACACTTGAGACGGCTCAGCCAATGTTTGCCATACACCACAGAGATCGGCTACCTGATGTTTTGTCATCAGGCCATGGAGTGAGGCTGAGCATTTGGATTCAGATGGCTCAGGATCTGCTGCAGCACGGACTCCATCTCGGTCATGCGCTCGTTCATGTGATTGATCTCTTCGGCATGGACCACTGGCTCCCATGGCGTGCTCTCGATCTCCTCGTCGGAGCTGGGGTGCCATGGGTCGTGAGGCAACTCGGGGTGGTCCCGGGCATGAGGTGTTGCATGATTGGAGGCCTTTGGCTTGGCCTTGGCTTTGGCATGAGATTTGGGTCGAGTTTGGTTCTTCTGGTTCTCCACATAGTCCAGGTGCAGCTCGATGAAGCGGAGGAACTTCATGTGGCAGATCTTCTGGCTGTGGCGGTAATTTTCTGCAAACCATGTCAGATAACGATCTTCGCTCACCATCTCCTTGAAGAGCTTGTTCATATGGGCTTTTCCAAACTCGATCCGACACTCTCGAAGTTCTTCCAAGCTCATCTCCATCACTTGCTCCACGGCCTCCGAACTGGCCTGATTGTCCAGTTGAAGACGGCGAAGGCGATCTGCCAACTGATCGAACTGACCGCCGGTCGACATGACTATCAAAACCAACTCGTTCGTGCTGAGCGATCTGAAACTGAGCGTTCTGATCTTTGAGCCGGGATTGCTCGGCTCTGGAAAATGGTTCGGCTGCATCAGAGTCAAAACTTACGGTAAGCGGCTTTGAAACAGCAGTGGTGGGGCTTTCCTGAATCGGATTGACATTTTCTACCGTTTGAAAGGCTGCTGCTTTCGTTTCTTCCGACATTGAGACATGATTCTGGCAGAATCCTTTTGTGCCACTGATCGGAGCGGTCAAAAGATCCATCATGTCAAGACGATACAGCTTCCGCTCATTGAGCACGATTGGGATTGCTCGGTCCAACTTCTTGAAAAAAATCTGGCTGCTATCCGTGTCTATGACTGCACCTAGAGATCTGAAAACACTGTTGGCAATGGGAAATGGCGTATTGGAGGGAACCACAATCACTTTCATCCAAAACGGACCGATGGGAAAGAACACGGCTTTCTTTCCAGTGACCATGCTATTGTTGCCAAATCTAAAGCTCACATTACAAGGGGCTTCTTTGAGCCGCCCACGGATCTCAGCAGGGAGGGAATGACACAGATCTGAAAACTGACGCTGGCCTATGACTGACATGCTGGCTCCTAAATCAACAATCCCTGACGACCCATGTGAGACAAAAAACGAACTCTCAGGTAAGTCCTCATCTGTCTTGGGACCCAGGGGGTCAGGTCTCGGTGATGTGCTGCCACGTTGTGGCGGAATCATCTTGGTCGGCCTGACAATGGCGCGCAGTCTGGTGACAAGGTCAGGTCGAATTTTCATGATTTGGGATTGAACATGGTCTTGGTTCCAGCTATTGCGGATTTTGGCTGGTGGGAAACAAATACCGGGTCTACTCAAAAGGGGTGAATTTCTGATTCGAACCTCTTCCACAGTGAAAGCCACGGCATTCTCAGGCAGTTCAGTCACTAAGTCACCATCAGGCTCAATCGGATCGCCATCAGTGGCAAGGGACACTCCGGCAAAGGCAGCGGGTGCGCCGGAGGCTGGTGCAGCGGCATTTGAACCTGCCTTGAACCTTTGTGGACATTCTGCTTTCCAATGCCCCTTTTGATGGCATATCCTGCATGAGCTTTCCAGTATTCGTTGGGCTAGAGGCTTTCTGAACTGAGATCGGAAACCACCCTTGAATTTTCCCTTACCTTTCCCTAGGCCCTCTGTTGTTCTTTGAGGGGCCCCAAAATCCACGTCCTTTGGCTTTATCAAGGAGGCGCTTTCTCGCATCCACATAGGCATTCAAACAGGAGGCTACATCAGGGTCTGATTGCAGTGAATCCAGAATTGCATCTTCAAATTGCTGGACAACCAAAGCATCTTCGTCTCCTTCAGCCATCATGATGTCAAATGCAGTCTCTTCAGAAACATCGGAGGCCAAGAAGACATTCTCATCTCCGTCATCAACATCTTGTTCCTGTTCGTCTATCATGTTTGCATCATACGTCTTGGTGCGAGTTTGATTTTTGCTGGAACCCTGTTGAACCTCACCAAAAAATTTGGAACCCAACAATTGCAGTGCTGCCGTCACTTTGGTGTACTCAAGTTCACCGTTCGCGTCCATGATGACTTTCTTTTTATCATCAGCAGACAAACCTGAGTTTCGAAGTAAGATATAGGCCCTCATCTCCTCCAAGGTGGCACCCATGCTAATCAAATCTTCGTATTGCACTTCATGTCGGGCCAAATAACTGGCGTGAGTTTCATCTGCCTTTTGAATCGTTCCAAAAATTGCACGTTCAAACCTTTCATATGGGGTTGTATAAAAACCCCGTATCTTTTTAAATTACCCAAAATCACGTTATCGTTTTTTTTTCCTCTTATCGTTTTCTCAGGTGGTGAGCTCCCTGTAGACAAGAAGTGTGAATTTACCAGGCTTCCATGGGTGTGAAAGAATTGTTCGTGGAAGATCAAAACATATTGTCCTGTGTGCAATCTTCGACATGGATCATAATCGTGAAGCATCTCAGCACGTGACTAGTTTTCTGCAACTCTTTTTTTGGTCTGTGAGATTAGGGCAAGGAGTCCGGGACATTGCTTTTTTGCTTCTGAAATTGCACCAGGTCCGATATCAGGATCTTTCAAAACTTGCTGCAGCAAGGCATAGACAGTCTTGGGTGGTAAAGACATGGCAGAAGCCAAGGTGAGGCAAAGCCGGTAAAGAGGAAAAGCTAAACAAGACTTCCATGCCACACATTTCTGTTTTCAAAAGCCTCGTGAAACCTGTCAAATGGGTAGCTGCTCACACGGCATGTTTTTTGCTACAATTCCTTATCGTTTTCGTTATCGTTTCGTTATCGTTTAGGTCACCTCTGCACGTTCTCATTTTCGTAGTCCATGCAAACGACTGCGGGCAACAAAACACATGAGACTCAGCAAGTTGGTCCAATCCCATGGAGCTGCCAACGTTTATTCTCAATTGCAGGTATCGCTTTTGGGGGGGAGCCTATCGCTACATAGTGTTTTGTGCAAGTTCCTGACACCCGAAAACTCTCCTCACATAAGTAATATACCAGATCGAGTTTTGACCGTACCTCATATCATGTATGTATAATTATGTGTATATATATATATATATTATTATATATTATAAATAAATATTATATATATATGAGCATCGTTATCGTTTTTTTCCCTCTTATCGTTTTCTGGGCCGGCAACGTATTGGCAGTGTTAAAGTGCAAGCCAAGCTAAAATGCAATGCACGGGGTTATTATACTACCCCATATTTCTTTTCCAGTCGAGATTGCCCCCAGACTCCCCCAAGGGTCTTCACGACCAGCTTCACACCATCCGTGGTGCCGACTCGAAGCTTCTCCGGATCCAGACGCACTACCTTTGCAAAGGCTGTGCCTTCGCACAACATGCAAGCTCGAGGAGCGAGCTGGGGCAAATGTTCTGGGGGCCAGATATTGGCAAGAAACTCCAGTCGTCTCGTGTACTCATTTATCTCGGTCTCTCCAGGCTTAAATGAAGGTATCAAGTGCCACGGGAGAAATGAATTTCCTGTGGAACCTCCAGTCGCAGTCGATCCACCGCCATTGGAAGCTTCCATATTCCCTGGATCCACTCACTTTCGCAGCAAGGAACCAGGCTGGCAGCGGTGAGCCCTCTGGCTCCGCTACCAGTGTTGAACTGGTAACGGGCCTTTAAACCAAATCTTCCACCTTGACCACCTGATCAGAAGTCCTTGATCACAAGGATAGGTAATGGATTCCCTGTCCAAACTTGTTACACTTCTCGATTTAGTGGCGTCCCTGGCCAACACCCATGAAGCGGCGAACCACGCCCTTTTGCACACACCGTGACCCCCTGAGTCTTCCTGAGCCTATATGGATATGCGACAGCACGGCCAAGGCATCGAAGCATGCATGTTTGGAGATGGATGTCTGGAAAAACACAATATATATATATCATATATATATATATCAAAGCCCCCAAGTTAATGTATATTTTTCTACGCATCCAGTTTTTTTCAGGCGCCTCTCGAACCTTGGCATCGGCACTTTGACCAATGAACTCCGCCTCACCTGGACGCAATTCTTCGGCAAGCGCAAGCCGCAGCGCTGACAGTGGCAATCGATGGTAATAAGTAATGGATATATGGCAATAATGGCAATAATAGCTCACACATATTTATATTGATATATTTATATTATAGTAGATGGGCTTTTAATTATAATTGTTAATATATTATAGTATATTGATAATTATAATAGCTGACACATAGCAATAAAACATAGTAAATATATAGTAAACATAAATGTTACTATCTAACATTGTTCATTAATTGTAATCATTGACTTGATAACGATTGATAGCAATCATAATCGCATTGATACATAGTACAAACAATCTAACACTAATAGTAAATGTAAGTTAGCTTAAGAACTCACAAACCTGAAAATAGATCTTATAAAAAAAAAAACAGACATTTGGGGATGATTCCCCATAAACCAACATTCCAGTGACGTCACGACGTCAGGTCATCGTAATCCAGATACTATGCATAGTAATATAGATTTAGATGATAGTCCCATGTAATATTGGTCATATAGAAACAGTATAGCAACTAATAAAAGTGAGATTAGAACTATGTCTTGATATACAACTGTTTTTACAATATTACAGTTATACTCATATGTATTATATATATATAGGCAAATTGAAATAGAACTGCAGTATTAGCACTCATTACTAAGATATGGTATAGTACATAAATTATTGCTACAATAGAACTACGGAGATAGCATCATGATAGGATGTATTCTGCATTCATAGTAGAACTATATTGCATATAGTACTATGCAATGTGGTTTGAAATTATGTATACATAATAAGCAATAAACATATACATCACTATCAAACAACTATCTCAGAATATATTGGTAATGATTTCTGATTTCTAGTGGTAATAGGAATTAACAGGCAATTATCTGGATATGTATATGTAGCAATAAACCAGACACTGGGCCCCATATATATATACACATGTATATAATTTGAATTTACCCCAGATATAAATGAGTTTAAACTATTTGAAATTGCTGTAGGTCGTACATGATTTGGTCGAAAAAAATCAATGGCGGTAAGCCATCTCCAATGACTAGGGCCGGGCTTTCTCGAGGGACCACTGAATTTTCATGTTCTTTTTTCCGTGATGGTTCCCTAAAGTAGGCCTAGCCCCAGGCCAATCATCCACGCTCATAGGATTTCATCCATTTATAGATGGATTTTCCATTTATAGATGGGAAATCCAGGATCCTAAAACCTCCCTTTCACCTCAGATCACACAGTTCACCCCAGAAAAGCCTGCCGTTTTCAGGAAGCTGATCAAACCTTCCACCTCAGCAGACTGGCAATATGGAACTCAAAAAACGACTCCAAAGATCTTTGGTTTATAATGGGAATATGGGGATGTATATATATATACCTTGAGCAGCCTTTCCTCACCTTTATATAACATCCCCAACTTGCAAACCAAGAATCAGGCATCTTGGAGATTTTCGGCGATTCCAAGATTTTTTGGCTATTTGGTGTTTTCTGGGATTTTGACCCTTTGTGGCTGCATGCCGCCTGTTCCCGTGGCCATCTTTATTTTCCCAAGCTCTTCCTGCTGCGGCCACTGTCAAAGCCAGGATCTTAGCTTTACACCACTGAAAGTTCACAAGCCCCGGCTGTCTTGATCAGATTCCAACAGGGCATGGTAAGCTCCTATCAAGTATCGCTGAACACAACGCAAGTGGAGAGCTTTTGGGCTAACCCTGCGACTTAGTCGGCTAGGGCGTCCAATGAAATCCTCTTGCATTTGCACTGATTCACTCAAACAATTGACCACATACTCTGATCTAGCAGCTTCTTCCCTCATGCGTAAAGGAAAATGACAAAGGCTGTGGGACTTAGGGACCCCATGAAACCTGTGGAGGCCCCGTTGGTAACAAACGTCGGAGCACCTTCCAAAACACTCAGAGAATTTCTCGCAGCACGCTGCCAAAGGAATGGCAACATCACGGTGAACCCAGTAGCCCTCACCATATAGTCCAGAGATGAAGAGGTTGAAGGCACATGTTCCCAAAGCCTCAGCGTGACAGGACAGTAGGGAAATAAAAAGGGAACATTCATTTTTGGTATATGACCACCCCAAACATGTTAAAGGAGAATGTGTTGCTAAACCACAAACAAGAAACAATTGAACGGAGAAGAACATCATCCGTTTTGCCATCCACCACTTTCTCGCACAAATGTTGGAGGTACATCATAAGATGAGGAGTGGTTTGACCTTTTGACCAATGACCTTCAGGCCAAGCACTGGTCTGTGGGTAGGACAGAGTTTTCCGTTCGATCTTTAAGCTTGGACAAATTTTCTTCATTCGACAGAACAAATGCCAGTCATTGTTGAGCCATTCCAACTTGGCTTCCACAGAGTTCCCCGGCACCCCGAACTCAGAGATGCAAACCAAAGATGCCGCAATCCACACCTTCCCAACTCCAGCATGAAAAGTATGCCAGAGGTCCAGCTTGAAGAAGTCTTCTGGCTGGTGCCTTGACAAAGGTAGCCCCTGGATAATCTCCGGTTCATTGTCATCAGCCCATGGCCTGACAGAAAACAAAGTGTTTGTCCATGTAGCAGTCGGTAAGAAGTCCTCATATGGATGATGCACTGGGGCCTCCTGGCCTGCAAGGCACAAATGACAGATTCCGCCACAGGGTTTGCGAGAAGAACTCGCTTTTGGTACATGTCGGAAAGTGCGTTCAAAATTTCCAGCCTTAATTAAAGCCGGTAGGTCCGCTTTGGTGCCAATGTGCAATGCCCACATACGCAAAGTCTTGGGGGTGTTCCAAACCCCTTGTGTAGATAGCATGCTCATGTCCTCCGCATAGTAGCTCATAACTTTTCGGAATGGGGTATCATCATCAGCATAAACTGAACGGAGAAGTGCACAACATAGGAACTGTGTGGACAACGTTTTCCCAACAAAGTTCATTCCCATACGAGGTTTTTTCAAATGGTTCTTCTTCACCTGCTTGGCAATGAAGCTTCGGGTGCCTCTGCCTAAGGCCCCATGAGTGCTGACGATCAGGATGCCCTGTTTTTGGTATGTCCGACCCTCGTCAGTGTGGCTGTAAACCGGTAGGCACAGGGATGGAATGACGGTGCCAGCCCGGAAGCTGGCGAAGATTTCATGTTGAGGGGAAATCTTCTCAGATCTCACCCAAAATTCCCGGAGTGTTTCCATCATTTCCTCCAGAGTTTCGACACCACACATTTGAGAGAACCTGCAGTTGTCCATCAAGTAGCGAAGCCAATCTGAAAATTTCAAGATTGGGAATTGTTCTACACCCTCGGCCCCAAGGTCAGTCTTACGAATGGGCAATGGGATAGTCAAGCCATACTCCTTGAAGATTTTGTGAGCACCATCTTCTGCATCCTTGGGATTCACACTAGCGAATTCTCGTAGGGCCCGTGTGTGGCCATTGGGACTATCATTCACAGCTGCTTTCGCAGTAGCCACTGCATGGGAGCAAGGTACCTTAGATAGCGGTTTGAATGAGATATGTGACGTGTGCTGGTAATCCAAAATTTGGGATGATGGTTTGAAAGCCCCCTTGTTTGGGATAAGTGTTCGCCTGGTTTTTAATATCTAATTATTCAATTTACTCAAATCAAATCCATTCACCCCATATATTGCAAACCTTCCATAAGGGGCCTGACATGAAAATTCCCAGTATCCCCAATACAAAACAAACACTTCTATAGCAGGGTATTTAGGGACTGGATTGCTGTGTCAGATGTGGCCAAGGTGCTCCATGGGCGACCTTCTTGCTTAGATCCACAAGGAGCTGGCCAGGGGCATCACCTGGCATTGGAGGGAGTAGCAGAGTAGCACCAAACACTGGTTATACTTGAAGAATTACAATGCGCTAAATGGGCCTGAATATGCCATACATAAACTGAAACTGTCTGCAAAGGCTGAAAGATTTTTCCCCATTTTGAGCAGTGTTGTCTCCAGCCCGAGCATGAGCGTTTGCTCAGGATACAGCTTTGAAACTTCCATGGTACATGCTAGGTGCATGTTCGCTTTGCCACATGTCTCTGACCATGTGAACCCCTTACACAAGTGGAGAACTTTACTCCTTTTTGGGCTAGACCCGGCATCATTTGGCATTCCGATATTGGTCGATGTTCTTCAGAAGGTTCCTCAGTCAAAGGACCCTGGAATCTGAAGATAACTCCAAGGGAATGAAACCATTGACAAACCAGGAATGGGGAATCTGCAACTCAGAAACTTGGCCGTGGTCTCAGCAGTGGTTACCTTTGCGCACCTTGCAGCAAAAGTTGTTCATATGTTTTTGAAAAAATAGAGAAGGTACAATGGAAGATAAGATGCATCAATTGATGAAAGTCCACAAGAAATCATCTCCGGTGGCACGCTGCGGTGGAAGATCTCATTTGTTCTTCAGTCTTCTCAACCAACCTAAGCTGGTTATGGTTCCAAAGTGAAAACCCATTTGGATTGAAAATCTTAAGTTCAAGTACATGGGAACAAAGATACACAGGTGTTTGAGGTAAATAAGGCTGAAACTTTTTGGTGGTGTCATCATCCAAGCCCTTCGGATCCTTTAGCTTTCCCACTTCACCCTTTACGAGTTCCACGTTCTCGTACTCGGCATTCAGGATACCGATCGCTGATTCCAAAGCTTCGATGCACCTGAGCTGTCGCAACATTTTGGAGGCAAGAGGGGGGTCAGTTGGAAAGACATGGAGTTCCAATGCAAATAGGGGGCTTGATGATACGTGAATGAACCTGGTCACCCTTGTCATCACTCTTGTCACCCTCAAGCTCTGCCAAAGTGGTCTGCAACTTGCTGGATCGTGCCAGCATGGATTCACCAAACTTGCAAAAGGTTTTGTAGGCCTGTCGCCAAACAACATGGTGGTTGACTTTACTGAAATTTCATGAAATTTCCAAAATTACATCGAACTCATATCTAACTGTCTATAACTCATACAATGTTTGAATCAAGAAAATCCCACCTCAGCACCCGATGACATGTCAGTGAGCTTGCTGCTCTTTCCCTTTCTCGTGTCACTGGGTTCCTCCTCTTCATCCGAAGTGTCTGGCAGGGCCAAACGGGAGAGAGCTGCGACGCCACCAAGGCTGGGAGCAGCGGGGTCGGCCTGAGATCGAAGATGGTCATCGGTGGGAATGAGTAAGGGGAAGATTTCCTGTTTGAGTATAATTATACATAGTTATACACGCTGTCATTTTATATCATGTGATTTGTTGCGATTTTACTGTCAGAAGAGTTACATCCATGACTTCCTCTCGTTCTTCTTCTTCATCTTCTTGATGAAGTAGCTCATCTTCATCTTCATATTCAACATAGTACTTGCGGCCACAATACTTGTCTTTCCTTATGGGAAAATTTTGGGAGCCAACATGTTAAACACATGTAAATTGTTGTTGACTGTAACCTTGAAGGATCTCGACAATGAAAGACCAGCATCTTCCAAAGCCCATGTTTCTCACAGTGCTTGACGACGTTCTTGATGTACTGCCTGAGTGTATGCAAGTATTTTTGGGGTACAAAATGGTACAAACAAATGAGATTGACAATAGCGACATTTGAACATATGGGCTATTGAGGTGAATACGGTGTCCATAGCAATTTTTTCGCCATACCATCCTTGTTGTACCATCCCCGACGTTTCGTGTTGGCAGAACGCTTCAACACTCGATGGGTCTTCTTGACTTTGGAGATGAAAGCATCCTGAAATTTTTGGGTCTGAGATGGGAATTCAAAACCTAAGTACAAAAAACAAGTCCAGACAGTATGGTCCTTGTTTTCCCCAACTTGCATGAAGATCTCCACGAGGCTATCTCTTCCAGCTCCACGTTTTTTCCATAAGTCGTGTATCTCTTGGGGGACGTGGATGGCACCGGACGGCTTGCGCTCGCAAAGACGTCTTAACCTTCCTTCCACAGCAGCCTAACCGAGTATGGGAAGGATGTGGATTATCATGATTAGAGAGTTAACATACATGTAATGCCAATTGAAGTAACGGAAGCAATGATATGATATAAATATGGCATGGATAGTGTATATATTGTATATATTCTATATATTAAGATAATACCCTTCCCCCCATCACCTTGGTCATGCTCCTGACCGGTGGAGCTGGAGGCTCATCCTCATCCGAACCCGCTGGAGGATTCACAGGTGCCGCCACGGGCTTGGGCTTGGCCTTGGGAATCGGAGGGGATTTCCCGGAGGCCTTGGGCAAGGGAGGTGCTGACTCAGCCGGTTCAAAGGCCAATCTTTTCTTGGTCTCTTCCAATTCTTTCTGCAACTTTCTGTTGGCCTGCTAGCAACAGGCAATATCAAACATCCCAACAATAAATTGGCACACAGGGACAAATGCCAAGGGTGATCGATAGAAACTGGGTTGCATAAGGAATATTATTAGATAAGGAATTGAAACAACATTGGGCCTCTTTCATGGCTTCAAATTCTCTGTTCTCTTCAGGTTGCTTCCCCTTAACCCGCTTTGGCACCACTGCCATCGCTTTCGCGGTTGCCGGAGAGGCATTGGTATCCACTGGAGGAGCCGCGTGCTTTTCAGCTGGTTTTATTGGGGATGCTTTGGGAGCAGCTTTTGGGGCCCCTTTGGCAACAGCCTTTTGCTTGGGTTGCGCCTTGGCCGCCGTTGGCCTTTTCTGGCCAGCAGCGGCATCGGCTTCTTTGTCCTGGCTGTTTTTTGATTTGAAATACGGGACAGTGATAACGATGACTGTGGCTTAACTCTTCTCCCCAACACCTTAAGATAGTATACCACTAGGATCTTTGCTCATTGGTTTCAAAATGTTTCAAATTTCTTGGTAACTGAAAATATTTTTTCTCATTTGGGGTTTTGAGGTCCCTGATGAAAGTCACAGAATGGAAAAATGCTTATTGGCCTTTTCAGCGTTCATAGCTTTGAGGGCAGCAAGTTCAGCTGATAGCTCCTCAACAACAGAATCACGGGAAATGACTATTGATAACCCTTTGTTGGAACTTTGCAGTTATAACATGTTATAACACCATAGCGCTGTCAGAACAATGTAATCCAAATCAAATGCAAAGGGCTCCTTTATCTTTTGTTCTGCTTCATCATCAACTTCCTCTTTGGTCCCCATAAGCTTCCCATGGCCCTCCTCTAACTCTGAACAGCTCCATTGCCTGGAACCCAATTTGGGAGTAATTGTTTTCCCTCCCTTTCCCATGGGCACTGGCGACACAGTTTCCCACCAACAGGAGGGAGCAAAATGGCTGCAAATGCAGTTGTGCCTTGCACAGGCCTCAGAAAAGCATGATATACCCTTAGCATATCCGTTTTGGGGTAGCCGCTCCTCAAGATGATCGTTTTGGTTGGGAAATAGCCATAAATACCAATAAAGCAGGGTATGTCTAACGGGATTTGATGGAAATTGCAGCCTTTGGCAGCTATGCAAAATTGGCCAAAAATTACGTATTTTTTACGTATATTTTACGGCGTTTTTTGGCTATTTCACGCCGATTTCCGGCGTTTCCACGGGTCCCCTCAAAATACGTACAAATTACGTAAAAATTACGTAAAAAATACGTAAAAATGGCCACCCAGCATACAGTTCAGAACATGTCCAAATTGCAGCAATGCTGTATTGATATGATTTAGTTTCCAACAAGATTTGGCAAACTTTGGCATTTCAACTCTATTTTCGATCAGTTTGACGCAAATCATGGGTGCTCTGGAGGGCGCAATGCCTCCTTCCATTCTGGTGAGGCTAACAAGCTAGTGTTCCCATATAAATAAATTACTACAGACATCATGTCTGCATCGTCCCATAAGTCATCCCATGGGAGGTCATTGAACCATTCCAAAATTCTGGCGCTGACCAGACCCGAACGTCATCCAAGGCTGGAAAGTCTACCCGGCTGGAGATGAAGGCATCAAAGTTGCGGGCCAGGTAGAACCCAAAGAGTGGGGGATAGTTCCTGGGCCAGGCACCATTCTCACAAAGGGTTTTTAAACATTGGGGTTAGCAACGTGATATCCATCAATACTAACCCATCCGAACTTGAGGCATGCACTCGGTAGCTGTTAGAGTACTGCTCCCTTTGAATCTTTTCCGTCCACGTCTGTCACGGTAGCCCACTGTAGTGTCAGATTTTCGGTCTTCTTTAGATCGTTTCAGTTGGCCAACATCTAAACGGACAATTGCCCGTGAATTTGAATATCCCACATGGCGCTTTGGTGAACTTCCGCCAAATAGTTTCATCCACCATGCTATAGTCCACACCTGCCAAAGAAACAAATTGATTGATTGGTGGTTCCTTCAACGCCAAAACTTTTTAAATCAATATGGGATTTGACAGACCAATGTGAGTATGTCGCAAAAACATGTCACCTTCTTTGGTTTACAAAGAACCTTACATAAGAGAAAAAGGGCATGTTGAGACATCCACATGTGCCTGTGGGAAGTTCTTGATCACCCAACGGAACCGGGGATGCCATTTCAAGACTGAAGAGCTTGGCTGCTCTAATAGCCAGGCAGCACCAAAGACCTCCGCTATGGCCAGCAACAAGGCAGTCCTGCCGGCAGGGCTGGATGCAGCGCTGGTTTCCTCAAACATCTAACATTCCAAAAAGCAAGTATGCCACATTCTCCCAATCAGAAAGTAAACAATTTTTGGATTATGTTTTTTGTAGAGATTTTTTCAAACCCGCAAATTCCCAGAAATTGTTGTACGGTGTTTTGATTTCAGGGGTCCTGCTCATAAAAAGGTTTCCTTCTTCCACCATTTTCACACCAGGCTTCCCCAGTGGGCACCATGGTGCCCTTTGATGAGTTCCCGAGGATATACAAACAAATGATTTGCAGACTATGCCGCACATCACAACGCTGGCCAAGGGGACCAGGTTCAACATAGTAGTCAATGCCAGCCTGAGTTGAATAACATAGAAACCATGGCAACATATATGGTCCAAGTGAGAATTACAAACCACATGTAACCCAATATAATATACCGTTATCCAATGATATTGGGATAGTTTTATGCCACTATGTTCATGGCTAGGAACGCCATGCCCGCTGAAGTTCGAAGATCCATTGCATCAAGTTTTCCTTCACGGGGCTGCCCCATTAACACATCCAGGGATGCAGTGGCATACCCTTGCTGACGGAAGGAGCGTGATACCCAAGCTTTACCAGCAAATAGCTCCACACATTGGTAAGCCTCACAAGCTAGAAAGGTAACAGGGGTGGTTAAACCACATTTGCTGGACTGGTGACTTGGGAGCTTCAAAAAACATTCAGTAAAGGGGATTGTTTCTGTAAAAGCCTGAGTTCCGATTTCCACGTTGGTCGAGAAGTGAAGAAGTAAAATGCATGCCAGCAATACCTCAGGGCACCCCAAGGCTCAGATAACACTAACACGACTATAATATGTTTCTCTCATATTCAATTCCCCCTTAGCAACCTTGGTTTGTAATTTTGGATCTATGTTTTTTTTTTGGGGTTCCATCTTGGGGTATTGAATATTAGGGAATATTGTATCATTTGATCAGCCAAAGTTCTTTTGGGCAACGCAAGCGGTGCAACTTCCGCAGGACCATCTGAAGAGTTGCAGGGATAAAATCGGCATCCCCAGAAAACATTGGATGCTTGTACATGTTTGCACCCTCCATGGCTTGGGCCAAAGAACCTATATGAAGCGATTGTTTGATGCAACAAATATGCAGCACTCCTCCTAGTTGCTACTGCTGGTCATTCCAATTTGCCAGTAGGCTGAGATCCGTTTGTCATAGCCCATAAACCTGTCCCTAAAAAAGCCAGGACCACGGTCATAGTCGTGGTCGTTGGTCAGCCGCATCCGCCAGGCTGGAATCTTCCGCTTCGCCATGTTTCGGCCTTGGCGAGCAGCGAGAGGACTGTGGTATGGATTGCTTGGGGGTCTACTTCTTTACAGGGTGGGGTTGAAGTTGAAGATGGTAAAATCCATTCAAGGTGATGCAGAACTATCCATGACCGATCTTAAGCAATGTTTGATCCTTTTTGCCATGCTAATCCTTCAAGGGTCAAGATCTATTAACTTTACCAAAATGGAGTGGAGAATTCAAAACTGCTCAGCGCATGTGGTTGAAATCCGAGCAGCATCCCCAAAGAACTCTATGGCACCCCTGCGAAGCCAATGGTAACCTGTAGGCCAAATCTACGGCAACTATCCTCTGGCAGCAAAGCCGCATCATGGAATGAAAGATCAGAACAATGAGTGTTTTTTAGATTCTGTCAAAATGAAGTTAAAATACTGAGACCATGGGCTGTGCTGCTGCTACGAGGGGTCTGCAGTGATTGGCACGTTCGCCAGGACTAAGTATTGCCTAGTTGGATTCCATGACCGCCACATACTCTTCAGCCGCGCTCTCAGCCAACTCTCGGAGATTCTCTTCACAAGCACCCTCCTCCTTGAACTTGCGGACGCAATGGTTCCAGAAAGGGTACTGCACAGGGCACATCACCCCTGTTGACTGGGTTTGTGGGTACTGCATTATTTGATTGGTTTTTATTCAAAAAGAATGGTGTAAACTTTATGAACCTTGTTGGGAACTTTATGCGCATTCTTGGGAAACTATAGTATAGATTATATATGTTTTTTCCAGAGGCCATGCACATGTATATTAAACCCTAATAAGAAAAGGGAAAGATCCGGCCTCCTGTGTGCTGGGCTTTCTGGTGTAAGGACGCACAAACTCGTTGAAGGCCCTGCGGATGTGTTCCCACTTTAGCTTCCCCAAACCCTTGACTGGCCGAGCACGACGGGCAAAGCTCTTCAGGGGAGTGCGGGCAGGAGTACGGGGTGGAGTTGCAGCACTATCCTCAGGGGAACCCATTGAGGTTTCAAAACATCAACCCATTTAACTTGAAACAAGTCTTAACCTTGAACATTTAAAATGTGTACGGATTTGGCATGTTGAGTTTTGTCAAATGTCCTTTGGGCTCTTGAGGTTCTTCTTCTTGGGAGTGGTCTTTACCTTCTTCTTCGGGGTGGCCACAACCTTCGCTTTCGCCTTTCCCTTCGCCTTCACCTTTGCCTTCGGCTTCGCCTTCTCCTTTGGCTCAATGTTTTTTTCCTCATTCGGGTCGTTCTTGGGAGCATCTACCTTTGGGGTCTCATCCTCCTTGGGGTTGTCAACGGTTGATCCAGCAGGTTCAGAATCCTCTCCCTCACCTGGAGCTGACTCCTGGCCCCCACCTTCCGTCTTGGCTGCCTTCCCCCTCCCACGTCCTCTGCCCCGACCACGGTTGGAAGCAGGGCGCTTCATGGGCACGGCTCCTTTGGGTTCACTTTCATGCTCTTCTTCACCATGCTTGCGTCGAAGCTGATCACGGCGTAGTACCTTGGGAAAGATGGAGGTAGTTTCAAACAAACATAGGCAAAACTGAGGTTGATTTTGGAATCATGATGGAGGATGGTAAAGGTAGGTTGAAAGATATAATTATTGAAGTGTGGTCCAAGAATCTGGTGCAGGGGCAGGCATGTCAGAACCACTTGCCAGCACTGAACCAATCTGGCCCTCCTTGATCATATCTGCGAGCTTGTCCAAGTGATGGCACCCGAGATCTTGAGTGTCTTGGTCGGGAGTTGCTAGGATGGTATCAGGCTGGGCTGAAGCTGCTGATCCTTAAGGCTGGGAAACAAACCACAAAAAATGGGACAACCACAACAGAAACATAGCCAATAATAAAACTTAAGAGAATCAATGAACTCACCATCACAAGATTGGTCACAAGAAACAGTAAATGGGAACGCATGGTAAACAGGGGAAAATCCAAACACTCCAAAAATCCACTGGAAGAAGATGGCAACGAAGCAGAGGACTGACCACGGAGCAGGCGGGCTTTTTCTTTCCTAGGTGGTATAGGTCAATAGCTAACCCAAGGTACTCTAAGATTCGGAGGTGTGGGCATTTGATTGGCCAGTCAAAGATGTCAAAATTCATAGGAAATAAACCAAATAAAACTTATGGTGTTGTATTCTCAAAGGGGCTGAAGCTCAAGTTCCAAACCACGAATCTGGGTGTCATACTTCGTGGGTTACTTCGTGGGTAACTTCTTTGGAGGTGGCATGGAAGAACCCATGTTGCCCTTAAAGAGTTCCTTCTTCGCATCAGCTAAGTTCGGGCTACACTCATTCGGGGCACGTGTCTCACAAGCGGGAGGCGTCTGGGAATCCTGGAAAAATTCCTTCTCTGGGGTCTGGAGATCAATCACCTGACAGGCCTGAGGCTGGGAGGCAGGGATATCATCGCCCTCACCCTCGGAATCCTCCTCTGTCTCACCTGCACCATCTTCGATAGGCTGGCTGTCCTCAGCACCCCCATCACCCAAAGTACCCATGTCAATCTCCTCCTCCATGTCACTGTCTCCGTCCTGGCTGTCCTGTGCAGGCTTTTGGGGATAGGTTTGGTGGGGCTATACTAACATGAGTTGGGTAAACTTATTGTAAGAAACAGCAAACTCTTAATGCTTCGACATTCAACAGCTTGGAAAAAAGGAGTTGGCTTGGAAACATTAAATGCTTCTGTCCTCAAGAGGGCCAGTCAAGACTTCAACAAGAACTTGAAATTCTTTGCAGCGGGATCGCTTCCGGTTGTTCAGAAAATCAGCTGCTTTCTCCTTGACACGGATGCAAAGACTTTTGCATGAACGTGCATCCCGCTTGACGCACTTCGATGTCGGGGTAGACTTGCACAAAGAATGAAGGTTCCAAATCCTTGCTTCAACATGTTGGGCTGCTTTGGGTTGGAAGTAATATCCAGGGCCCTAGTTTCATAAGAAAAACATTGTTGGTATTTAAAAAACAGGCTATAATAAAATTTCAAAACATATGTAAACAAATCCTTAGAGGACACCCCAAATGCAAATGAGATTCTCTTTTTCCAGTGCTGGGATTGAAAACAGCGAGAAGTTTCCAAACTTGTCCCGTGTTGCTGCAGCCATGCAAACCAACAAAGGTTCCAGGATAGCCCTGTTGAAGGCAGCCTCCTTCTGTAAGATCTTGGGGGCTTCTGTAGCACCATCACTAGAGAGGATGAGGCACCCTTTGTCCCTGATCCTGTTCCGGACCCAGGAATCTTTCTCCCAAACATCAGCGAGCTGGGAAATATCCACTGAAGATGGCATGGCAAATGGCCAACCCTAGAAAGCACTAGGTCCCAGCTGTGATCAAAATGCTATGGAATCACCCCATGATGTGCTGCCTCCACTGAGCATTCCAACTTCCACCCCTTGGCTCTTTGAGGTCACGGCCAGAGATCCAACGTTGGGATGGCTGCCGGACAATGGAAAAAATGCGGCTGTTTGTTTGGTCACCTTTGTGATTCTTCTCTGAATTTTGGGATAGCATGCAACATGCGGGTATCTTTACAGATCTTTAGGGTATATTTTATGGTTGAATAGGATATCCCACCAAGAAACATGATGATTCATGACCATTCTTGGTCTGAGAGCCATGTGCCTCAGCAAGGTGGGTCTGGATTGGGCATGGTTCTGGGTTTGGAAATGAATTGATTCTTTGATGGGAACCCAAATATACCCCAAACACGATTTTCGGCTATTTCGGGAAATAACCATTTTATTACATAAATCCTGGTTATTCTGAAATGGTTAAATAAAAACAGCCTTTCCAGGCCTAAGGTATATATATATATGTATTACCGGAATATAATGGGACTACGGGAAAAAAAAAAAGAGGGTTGATATTGCTATGTATAGTTTATTCAACGATGATACCAGGGAATATATATATATATAATTATATATATATTATATTATGATTTAACCAAGAATCTAATTGGATATATAGAAATAGTGTATGATGCCAATATATATTAAAATATGATTAGCTATAGTTGCAGGTGAGGCCCCCAAGCGATAGCGTTCAGTTGACGCACAGGTCCCTAGCTTTTCTCGGATGGGTTTGTGGGGGATATAACGAACTAGTCTGGTTGGTGGTTGACCTACCCCTCTGAAAAATATGCTCGTCAGTTGGGATGATTCTTCCAAATATATGGAAAGTCATAAAAATCCATGGTTCCAATCACCACCAACCAGTACTTATTAACCATCATTAACCATCATTAACCATCATTAACCATCATTAACCATCATTAACCATCATTAACCATCATTAACCATCATTAACCATCATTAACCATCATTAACCATCATTAACCATCATTGTCCCATACTAAACCAATAAATTGGTGGGGTTGTATAAGTTATACAATAAACATAACTGGGGGGGGGCTCGCCTTCTACTCGGCATTAAGTGGCCATTCTTGCGGGCTAAAAGTGACCTTCATTATGGTGAAAAAAGAGTTCCAACATACACATAACACAACGTTGAACAGGGGCATCATGCCGGGTTCTCTATGGTTCAGACTTCATAGCTACAATAGCTACAGGGCATTGGTGGGCAGACATCGTTCAAGACGAAAACAGAGTTGGGGATGGTTCATACCCTCTGGTAAACTAACATAGCTATGGAAAACCACCATTTTTTATGGGTAAATCAACTATAAATGGCCATTTTCAATACAGTAGCTATGTGTAAGTCAAACCATTGCAATCTTTGTCAAAATTCAAGCGGTTGGTGGGGGCCCTGAACAGGCTACACGGTCGTCAACTGGACCATCTCACTTACCACGATACCCTCTGGTACCAGTAATAGCTGACATAGCTATTGAAAATGGCCATAGCAATAGTGGATTTACCCAGTAAAAAAATGGTGATAGTCCATAGTTTTTGGTATGTTTACCAGAGGGTAGTTCATTTACACTCCTGTTTCATGAACATGTCTAGTGCTTACACGCCCTCATCCTCATCGTTGAAAGGAAAAGATGTTTTTCGGAAGCCCCATCCCTTGGATAATCATTCGGTCGCTGAGATAGGCTGGGGCCCGCACATCTAAACTGCTCAACTGCATAGCCGAATGTAACTCCTGAACATGGCCTGCAGCGGTTGCGGTTGCTAAATCCACCAGTTGGTAGATGGTAAACGTCCCATTATAACATGGTGCTATAATCCCATTGAAACAGTGTTTCATAGTTACTACTAGTTACCCACCGGTGCAGGATTTCTTCCATCCACAGTATCAGAAGCATGGATCCGGATAAATGATCATAATTCACTGACCTCAAGGCTATTTTGGGACAGTTACTGTTACTAAAAAAAACATTCACCATCATTCCGGGCTTTCAGGGTTCGAGACCAAATTATCACAAATGGTTGACCTGATTATCCAACGGATCGATGGTGACAACACATTTCTGAATGCATCCAACAGCCCCTTTACGGATCCAGCCTTCGGAATATTTCACCAGGGGCTGCACAGGCGTTGGGCCGCCCTCCCCAGCAATGAGATCGACCAATTCCGTCCAGTTGCCCTGGCCGACGCCGAGAAATGGTGCTACCAGTGCTGCCCATTGAAATTGCTTTGTTTAGGTCAAAAATCCCATGTAAAATATCCCACCAGGTCTTTACAACTCCAACATCTCCAACCTTCATCTTAAAAATCCCACCAGTTGTTCTTCACAAATCCGGTCTAGACTCACATGTTTAATCCCTTCCCTCCCCCCGTTATTATATTGTTCTCAAACACCCCCAAACGAAACCATGGTTTCATAGGGGACATTTCCACATCATCGGAACCATCATCGGAATGTAATTGCAGGAGATATATCCCAACTTACAGAGGTTTATCACCATAGTTATTCCATAATAGGTATCTACTTAATCATGCATGTTGTTTAATATTCTAATATTATTTATGTATATATATATACGTACACAGATAGATAGATAGATCAGATCAGATCAGATTAATTTAGATTTAGATTTAGATTTAGATTAGATTAGATAGATTAGATTAGATTAGACTAGACTAGACTAGACTATATTAGATAGATAGATAGATAGATAGATAGATGGATAGATAAGAATAGATAAGAATAGATAAGAATAGTTAAGAATAGATAAGAACAGATAAGAATAGATAAGAACAGATAAGAATAGATAAGAATAGATAAGAATAGATAAGAATAGATAAGAATAGATAAGATTTGATAAGCTTAGATAAGAGTAGATAAGAGTAGATAAGATGTGATCAGATTAGATAAGATTAGATAAGACTTGATAAGATGTGATAAGATTTAGATAAGATTTGATAAGATAGATAAGATTTGATAAGATTAGATCAGATTGGATAATATAGATAAGATTTGATCAGATTTGATCAGATGTGATAAGATTAGATAAGATTAGATAAGATTTGATCAGATTTGATAAGATTTGATACGATTAGATAAGTTTAGATCAGATTTGATCAGATTTGATAAGATTTGATACGATTAGATAAGATTAGATAAGATAGATAAGATTTGATAAGATTAGATAAGATTAGATAAGATTAGATAAGATAGATAAGATTTGATAAGATTAGATAAGATTTGATAAGATGTGATAAGATTTAGATAAGATTTGATCAGATTGGATCAGATGTGATAAGATGAGATAAGATTAGGTAAGATTTGATCAGATTTGATCAGATTTGATAAGATTTGATACGATTTGATCAGATTTGATCAGATTTGATAAGATTAGATAAGATTTGATCAGATTTGATCAGATTTGATAAGATTTGATACGATTTGATCAGATTTGATCAGATTTGATAAGATTAGATAAGATTTGATCAGATTTGATCAGATTTGATAAGATTTGATACGATTTGATCAGATTTGATCAGATTTGATAAGATTAGATAAGATTTGATCAGATTTGATCAGATTTGATAAGATTTGATACGATTTGATCAGATTTGATCAGATTTGATAAGATTAGATAAGATTTGATCAGATTTGATCAGATTTGATAAGATTTGATACGATTACATAAAATTAAATAAGATTAAAAAAATGATAAGATTAGATAAGATTTCATCAGATTTCATAAGATGTGATAAGATGTTGATAAGATTTTGATAAGATTAGATAAGATTTGATAAGATTTGATAAGATTTGATAAGATGTGATAAGATGTTGATGAGATTTAGATAAGATGTGATAAGATTTTGATCAGATGTGATAAGATTAGATAAGATTTGATCAGATTTGATCAGATTTGATAAGATTTGATACGATTAGATAAGATTAGATAAGATTTGTTCAGATTTGATAAGATGTGATAAAAATTTGATAAGATTTTGATAAGATTAGATAAGATTTGATAAGATTTGATAAGATGTGATAAAAATTTGATAAGATTTTGATAAGATTAGATAAGATTTTGATAAGATTTAGACAAGATGTGATAAGATTTTGATAAGATTTGAAAAGATGTGATAAGATGTGATAAGATGTTGATAAGATTTGCTGATAAGATTTTGATAAGATGTTGATAAGATTTTGATAAGATTTGATAAGATGTTGATAAGATTTTGATAAGATGTTGATAAGATTTTGATAAGATTAGTAGATAAGATTTGATAAGATGTTGATAAGATTTAGATAAGATGTGATAAGATTTGATAAGATTTTGATAAATTTTGATAAGATTTTGATAAGATTAGTAGATAAGATTTGATAAGATGTTGATAAGATTTAGATAAGATGTGATAAGATTTTGATAAGATGCTGATAAGATTTTGATAAGATGTTGATAAGATGTTGATAAGATTTGATAAGATGTTGATAAGATGTTGATAAGATTTTGATAAGATGTTGATAAGATTTTGATAAGATTTTCATAAGATGTTGATAAGATTTTGAAAAGATTTGATAAGATTTTGAAAAGATTTTGATAAGATGTTGATAGGATTAGTAGATAAGATTTGATAAGATGTTGATAAGATTTAGATAAGATGTGATAAGATTTTGATAAGATGCTGATAAGATTTTGATAAGATGTTGATAAGATTTTGATAAGATTTGATAAGATTTTGATAAGATTTGATAAGACGTTGATAAGATTTAGATAAGATGTGATAAGCTTTTGATAAGATGTTGATAAGATGTTGATAAGATTTTCATAAGATTTGATCAGATTTGATCAGATTTGATAAGATTTTGATAAGATTTTGATAAGATTAGATAAGATTTAGATAAGATGATGATCAGATTTTGATAAGATTTTGATAAGATATATGAATGATAGATATATGATAGATGACACATCCCATGTTTTTCCCATCTCACATCCCAAGTCCTCCCAAGTCCTCCCAAGTCCGGCGCAGTCGCCTTGCTGCGGCGTGCCATGATGCCCAGCGCAGAGGACAAGTCGGCCACTTGGCGTTCGTCCAAGGTGAGGCCGCCCAACTCCTCCTACGCCAGGGAGCAAACTGGCTGGGGAACTGGGGGCTACCTATCTGTTTATATATGGTTATATAATGTTATATATATATATAAAGATAGATATTATATACATATTATATACATATTATATACATATTATATACATATTATATACATATTATATACATATTATATACATATTATATATACTGGTATTATATATATACTGGTATGTGTGTGAGTACCTCTATATATATATAAAATATTCAAGCATAACATATCTGTCTACGTACGGTATATATATAATTATATATATATAACTGTGTATGTATCACTAACGTATTTATCTATAAAATTTATGTTCTTTTCAACCCCACTCACCAACGGATAACCCCCCCAGCGGAGCGTGTTGATCTTCAAGAAGCACCAAACAGTCCCCACACAACCAGAAATGATGGTGTCACCATGGAAGTGAAGATTCTCTACAATGTGGTTAAAACAATAAACCACCCCATTTTTGATGGTTGAAATCCCACCCATTGAAATGGTGATGACTGGATGGTAAACATGGCATTGTTTTAACCACATTACCAAAAATGCCGGGAAATGGCGTTCGGCATTTCCAGCCCTCATCATTTACTGCATTTCTGATTGCCAAGTGGAGGCTATGAGGCGTTCGAACAGTGTCAGAGCCAACAATCTCGAGTTTGACCCCCGGTCTCGCGCCTCCACAGTTGATGATTCCGGGATTTCATCCGAATGAAATTGCTCTGACAGATCCCATTTTTCTTTGGCTGGCTAGTAGATTTTGCCGATAGCACAAGATTTTTTATAGTACCTTTAGTATCTGACCAAGGTCGACCCAGGTTGACCGCGTGCAGATAGTGCAGACCTGAATCTTGCTGAAGAACTGAGGCATGTGTTCATCATTCGTCAGCAAGGCATCGCGCAAAGTGTGATCCTCTGACTTTCCTGCGGACAACGGATTCTTGACGTAGCAAAAGAATGGGTCAAAATTGTAGGTAAAAAAATGGTTTTATGTTATGGGATGTTGATGTTTCAATGAAACCTATCACCTAATGCTACTATCTCATAATGACTAAACACCTTCCTTAGCTAGAACATTGCTATATACCATTGCTTTTTCACGGGATGTTCGCCGGGTTTTCATGACCAACAAAAAATCGTGGTTGGAGCAAAACCCATTTGGTATGATTCAAGAAAACAGCCTGGTTGGTGAATCTGGGATATCTGGGATTTACCCACTGGTAAACGTTTACATAGCGAACTGGAAAGATCCACCCATCTTTAAGAACGGTAAATCACCTATAAATGGGCCATGTTCAATAGCTATGTTCAATTACCAGAGGGTATGTTTGGACCACATCGGTCCCAAACATGAAAAAAATAACGTCTTTGGATAATAACCTAGGAATTCAAGGTGTTTCTGTTAAAGTAATTCTGAATGATTCATTGGTACGTTTCGTTCCATGTCAATCATAAGAGTTGGTTACAGGAAAACAAAGCACATTAGTCTGCGCATTTGACTCTACAACCTCCGAAGGTTTGCAGACATTTTGCAGCATAGACTATAGATATCATTCAAAAAAGTACTGTAGTCACACTAGCAGTGTCGCTGATAGATCCAATTTTCTCAGAACTACATACAGTACGTTCCCTGATCAGGGACGACTTTCTACAGGATTTTTTCTCACTTTGTGGATAGTGACAAGCCCCAACTGGAGAAATCATGGTACTTTTCGAGAGATTTGGAATCATGGTTTAAACAACCATAGTTATCATATAATATAATTGTAGTTTTTTTATACAGCACACATGTTGTAATCATGATTGTAGTGATTCTTGGTAAGCAAGCAAACTCATGTTATACTTATGGAATCATAGTTAGCACTATAATCAAAAAGCAACCATATAAAAACATGCTAAAACAACCATAATTATCATATAATAGTATTGATTGTAGTTATGATTGTAGTTAAAACAACCATAATTATAATATACAGCACTATAACATGATTCTAGTTTTTCTAGTTACCCTCCGTTGTGTCACCGTGGCCGGATTTAAAAAAGCCATGTTTCATGAAACCGGAGGGGAATGATCATCCTCAATATCTTACCCTCTGGTTATGACTAACAGTTTGCCATGGTATAGATGGCCCATAGAAAAAGATGGTTTACCTGGGTTGACCTGGGTTTACCTATTAAAAATTGGTGGATTTTCGATGGCGAACTGTTAAATAACCAGATGGTATAGGATATCTTAAATCATAATAAATCACATAAAACTCCCCTGATTATTATTACAAACAAGGAAACATAGATCTGGTTGCTGGTTTCAACCCCTCCGAAAAATATGAAAGTCAGTTGGGATAATTATTCCCAAAATATGGAAAGTCATAAAGTTCCATGGTTCCAGTCACCACTAACCAGATCTTCCTTTTATAACCCCTGTAGCTCCAAAACATCAGTCGCAGCTCGCAGCTCCAGTTCTCGCCTTCGAAGATGCCAAGGGCGGCGAGTTGCTGCGTATTGCCCAAGACTTCAGCCAATTCGACCGTGGTGAAGCTCCTGCGATGACCGGGATGACCGGCGAACGCTTCACAGTTGATCCTGGTTTTTTTCCTTTGAAGATGCGAAGTTCGAAGTTTTTGAACGTTTTTGGAATCTTTGAAAACTTTGGAAACTTTGGACACCTCCAAGTTTCAATTATTTTTGCAGGACTTGTTTGGATGTTTGATGATGCTGGTTTGGATATGTTTGGATCGTTTTGATCTTCTTTGATCTCTTGTTGAGCAATCCTGGGACATGGAGCATACAGGTTTGTCTCAAAATTTGGTACCTTCAAATCAAACGAAATCAATATATTGAGGTATTCTAGACAATACTATACCTTGAAATATCTTGACCCATCACCATCCTCAATGATCAAATGTCTCCACAGGTAATCCATTTTCTCTCATCTTTACTTCCAACACAACCTTAAGGTAAACTGCGTCAATCCTATCTTGACCCACATATATTCTTTGCTTGTTCAACTAGGGTGTTCACTGATTGATCCCAGCTAGTATTACTTATATCGCTCTTGTAACTCCATATTCGGTCCAAATGTACACCATGTTTCCTCGTGCTGCATAGTTTGGGAACCTTGGGCTCATGCTTTCCACGATCATTGTTGGATCCTAGGTATCTGCTTACAACTACATTCATCAGTGGGTTGCCTGGTGTCCCATGGAAACTGATTTAAGTGGATGGTTGTAGGGCAATAAACTTGATGGCTTTCTGTGGCTTGTTGCCTGCGTGAGGTCGCCTTACATGTAAATGACCAAATTCTCTGGATGGTTTGTCTATCATATTGGCACACGATGCACTTGTTTTCCAAACCTCTGACATCTATTTGTATGAACATCCAAGCAATTCCAAGGCAAACCCTATGTTTGTTGCTTTAAAGCAAAGCCTTTACAAACAAAGAACCCAAACTCATTATATCCCTACAAGGTGGCCCTAAAAAACCCTAGTTGTATTAGAAAAAATAATGATATTACCATAATTAGACCCTATAAATCAGTAGATTAATACACACAAAAAATGAATGTAGCATTATAGATACAGCCTATTCTTATACTGTTACTTGTTTATATCCTACTGTAAGTTGTGTTGTATTACATTATATTTTATTATACTATATAATATTATATTATAGTATATGTTTTTATTTTATATTACATTAGAAAACATATCATATCATATTGTTGATGTTCTATTAAAAATATCATATCATATTGTATGAAATACCCTCTGGTAAACATTCACAGTGCGCGAACTTGAAAATGGCCATGGCCCAGTCGACAGTTCGTGGATTTTTCCATTCAAAATGGTGGATCTTTCCATCGTTTTTTCTATTTGAAATCCATGGATATCCCACAATTCCAGTTCGTTATGTAAACGTTTACCTTAGAGGGTCATCCTCCATTTTCCAAAATGGCTTTTCCTATGCTTTTCCTATGGCTTTTCCCATTAAAACCTCCATTTTCCTATGCTTTTCCTATGGTTTTCCCATGGTTTTCTCCCACATTTCCCTGGAAATCCTGGTGAACTTTTTGGCGCCACCAGCACCGGCCACCAACTTCACCACGTGCTGCCAAGAGGGCGTCTCCTCAGCGGTCAGCTCCGTACCTGGCGCCGCGATTTTTAGTCAAAGGGCTAGCCCCATGACTTTTTGTGTGTATATATATATAATAATGTATAAAATATATAATAAATATAATATAATATAATATAATATGATATGATATGATATAATATGATATAGTATAATAGATACGGCTCTGGTATCTAAGATTAGGTTCTGGATTTTTGGTGGAAGTTGATGTTTGGATGTTTTGGTTCAGCTGACGAATGGTGGGTGAATGATATTTTGATATAGTTTGAATAGTGTGTGTGTGCCTGTTTACCCTCTGGTAAAATTAACATAGACCCTGAAAATAAACCATTTTTGGTGAACACGAACCTTCCAACACCAGCCACCGCCACACCAACCACTGCCAGGGTCTGTGTTAGTGTACTGGAGGGTATATATCTTTTGGAACATGTGTGTTTTTAAATGTATATATCTTTATTATTTTCGGGACTTGATATTTTGTTTGGTATTTTATGTACTGTTCTATGACCTGTGTGATGTTTTAAACATGTGTCACATATGTTTGGAATGTGCTTTATGTTTGGATTTGTGTTTGAATATGCTATGTTGTTTATTTGGATTTCTTTCTACGGTCTTAGGAAAATGTTTTTTGATTGTTTTTTGGAATATGTGAATATCAAAATCATGAAAAATGGAAAATGCGAATATCAATATCAACATACCATAATAATGTTGTTTCTTCTATGGCTTTGGATTTGCTGTTTTTTGATGGTTCGTGATGGATGGTTCGTGATGGATGGTTCGTGATTTCGCGCTTTTTAAGAACTCGGCCTAAGCCTTTGCCAATCTGATTGAAGTTTTAGCCAAATACAAGGCACAATCTGATGTGGGGCGCCCCAGGTATAAGTTTAGAACCCCCATGAACTATATAGTTATACAGTTATACGTACCATAAACCATAGATATCGGAGTTATTTGCACCAACTTATCTATCGCTTGGGGGCCCCACTTGTAGACCACTTCACTTCCAATCGAACCAGTCTGATGGCTGAGCCCCCGTCTATGAAGCTATGGATGTCAACCCATTAATAAACCTCTAGCCTTACAACACCGGAATCCCTCTAGGATGCTGAATTCAGGAAATATTTTTTTTACGATTTTAATATGGTTTTGGATACGATTTGACGATATGAATTTGATATGCTTTGAATTTGGGGTTATGATTTCGATATGATTTTGATATGGTTTTGATACGATTTTGATACGATTTTGATACGATTTTGATATGATTTTGATACGGTTTTGATATGGTTCCAGCGAGTTGGCTTCAAAAAAAGAAACAGAAACAGCGCAGGGATAGGTTTTTGGTCGATGTTTTGAGGATTTTTATGGTTTTGGTATGATTTTGATATGGTTTTGATGCGATTTTGATACGATTTTGATACGCTTTTGATACGATTTTGATACGGTTTTGGTATGATTTTGATCCGGTTTTTATATGGTTCCAGTGAGTTGGCTTCAAAAAAAGAAACAGAAACAGCCCAGGGACATGTTTTTGGTCGAATTTTCAATGGTTTTTAGGGTTTTGGTATGATTTTGATATGGTTTTGATACGATTTTGATACGATTTTGATATGATTTTGATATGGTTCCAGTGAGTTGGCTTCAAAAAAAGAAACAGAAACAGCCCAGGGACAGGTTTTTGGTCAATTTGTCGAAGGTTTTTGTGGTTTTGATATGATTTTGATACGATTTTGATACGCTTTTGATACGATTTTGATACGGTTTTGATACGATTTTGATATGGTTTTGATACGATTTTGCAATATTTTGGATATTGTTCCGATGGGTTGGCTTCAAATCACAAGTTTGACCCACATCAAGAATCATAACTGAAACCATATCAAAATCATAATTGAAACCATATCAAAATCATAACAGCAAAACCAAGCCATAAACAAATCATAACAACAAATCATATCTGAAACGTATCAAAATCATAAAAAAAAAATATTTTCAAAAACCTTCATCCTAGAGACTTCGGATGTGGTAACTCTAGCCTGTCTAATTGAGTGATACCATGAGAAAGTATCAGATTACAACTATTTGGAGAGTACCACCCCTAATTCATAAACCATAGTATCATGGTTGATTCATCCATGATTGACATCAAGTGTTTTGCAAGTGGCTTACGAACTGGAAGCCCTGGCCATAAAAAATGTGGTGATCTACCCGCCAAAAATAAGACCATCTTCCATGGCTATGTCGACCAGAACGTAGAAGCATATCCCTTTGATGACAGGACACATGGAGATAGAATATATATATATATGTATATACTGGTTGGTGGTTTCATATTCCCAACTGAATGGAAAGTCATAAAATTCATGTTCCAAACCACCTGAATCTTGCGGCCACCAATGGGGATGATCTCCCTCACATAAACCATGATGAACCAGGGCGGGCTCAGGAGAACACGGTTCGGTCGTGGTGAAATTTACCCAGATATTAATATATATGACTATGTATATATGACCCATGCATACTACATTTGCAGATCATATCTTCTAGCCATTTTTCTTCAAAGCGCTGAGCTGTGATCCTTTATCTGCGAAGACTCTCTGTTTGGAAACGATAGCTAAGTTGGTGAATATAATCAATAACTTTTTGGATCCCAAAAGGGGTTTATGATCATAGCTATAGGTTATCTATAGCTTAGGGTTAAAGATCAACTTTTAAATTGATGCAAAAACCCACCTCGTTGTTGGGTGAAGATTCCTGGAATTCCTGGACCCCTGGCGCTGGGTTTCCCGGGCTTTCTTGGATGGACCGCACCACCTGTGCCGACGCGGACGGTGTTTGAGATCAAAAAAACGTTGGGAGAAGAATATCCAGAATCCAAAACGTACATAATATACTCTATCATAATATAGAATATATAATAATATAGAATATATCATATATTGGTGTTATGAAAATCGATAAAAAACCTCCGGATCCCACAAAAGTATTCCTTGACGTGGTCTGCAACGGAACGCCACCCGCACCTCACAGGCTTCCTTGAAGTTCTTCATCTGCAGATCCGCTAAGGCTTCCAACATGCTTTCCAAGCCTCGCCGTTGAAGGGTTGAATCCTCTACGACTTTGTGGCTTCCTACTGGCTGATGTTCAGTGCGCGTAATGGCTCACTCAGCATATGGTTTTTTTTTTAAGTGTAACAATGTGTAACATACAAGTCCCATTTTCATCTACCAGTTCTTATTTTGGGCACTGCTCGAGCTGACCTTTTATTGTATTTAACCTATATTTATTGTGGTTTCTCTGGAAATCTGCGGGGTTTCAAAGAATGGTGTCTGGACCTACAAGAATTCGAGATATGGGTGAAATACCTCCATGAATGTATCCTGGATTGCCAAATTGCAAACAAAAGTAAACCAGGCTTGTTTTCAGTAAATAATCATAAGTAATCTACATTTAGCATCATTTAGCCGATTATCCAATATTATCCAGCTATGTTTGTCGTTCCAGAAGTACGTCATTGGCTCGATCCATTCTTGAATCCCCAGCTTTAGAAACGCTGAATCTCCAGAGCATTTTGGATCAACTTGCTGCTGATGATGACAATTTCTAGGCGCAGTTCTTCGTTGAAAAACGTTTTTTGGGTGCCGCAAAAGCCTTTTCGTCATTTTTGAGTATTCCCAAATCATCCAAGTCTACAATACTATAGACATCTATAGAGCATTTTTGTATTGGAATCATGGTGACGACATGTGACGACTAGGGAATCACCCACGACTACTAACCACCCGTTGCCTCCAGCGCTTTCCACCTTCTCGTAGAGTTGTTTCCGCAAGTCCACTTCGGTGCCTTCGCCGCCAATCAAGCCTAGCGGCGAGCCACGGCGAGCCACTGCGAATGGTTCAGGAGACCCAAGAGAACCACAACAAGTACCATGTTTATCCATGTCTTGAATAGGGAAACGTTGAATTTTGCAGTGTGTTTTTCAAGTGTTGGTGTGGATTTGTTGTTTGGCCCATACCGCAAAAGCAAAATCCGCAAATCAACCCCCAAATCAAGCAAACAAATAGAAAGTCAGTCAACCCCCAACAAATAGAAATTCCATCAAATTTACCCAAAAAATGCACATCCGCCCAACAAAATAGAATTTCCATCAAATCAACCAAAAAAATCGAAGTTCAATCAACTCAACCAAACAAAATCATATGAATCTCATCAAGATTCAAGAAAATCTCTAAAAAAAATCCCAGACTGGGATGGGAAATTTTAAAAAAAGGAAACCCCTACAGAATCATATAATCACTGGTAAAACAACATGATCATTTCCGGTAAATCAGCGCAAAGGTTCCCAAGGGAACCAATCCATGACGTCGCGCAAAGGCAGATCGGCACCTGCATCCTCGGCGTCCTCCAGAAATCGCTTGAAGCCCCCGGCCCTCACGGCCCCTTCGCCGATTTGGTTCACCGCGTCCACGTTGCGCAGGATCACTTCCGCCGCCGAGGGCAACTGGATGGGAGGACCCAGGTCACCCATCCTGAGCGTCATCGTACGAGTTACAGAAGAGAGATGGTAACAATGAAAAAATATACCTTGGTTATCCTTGGTTCACTATGACTATGACTGCTGGTTTTTCTGGATAAAAAATATAGTGGTAATGAAAAAAAGGGAAGAAGTATGGATTTAAGCAAAATTCATGTGTGGGTTTAAGTGATTGACCCTCCGGCAATGAGTTTTTTTTTTGAATGTGGAAGTAACTGGGACTATGTGAAAACCAAACTGTTTATGTTACATAAGAGTTTACAAAGTGGAACATCACCATTTAAATAGTTCCGGATGGTCTATTAACAATTGCTATTGAGAACTTGTGGTGAGTAAATATGCAAGTATCTTATCCCACACATTCTTTAGTGGTAACATGTTCCCACTAGGGCTCCTAGTATAAGTTACTAAGGATCACAGTTAGCACAGTCATAGCATTCATAGCCGCCCTGACATGAATCCACCGGGTAGGTTTCTGGTTGAAATCACTAGGCTGATCAACTAATATTCATTAATATGTCAAATCACGGATACCCTCTGGTAAACTAACATAGCTATGGAAAATCGCCATTTTCAATGGGCAAATTAACTATAAAATGGGCAATTTTAAATAGATAGCTATATTAGTTTACCGGAGGGTATATCAAATGGGATTATTCCAAATTAGTTGCAACATGTTGCAACTAGAGCTACTACTTGGATGTGCATCCCACTTAGTAGATTGTTCATACCCCATACAGGAAGGCGCTCCCAAACGATAATTTCCTGCTGGCTTCTTATTTAGTAACTAGGACTAATGTTTGATATATCATGATATATCTATAGTTCTATAGTTACCCTCTGGTAATCTAACATAGCTATAGAAAATCACCATGTTTAATAGGTAAACCATCTATTTCTATGGGCCATGTTCCATAGCTATGCATTAAGATACCCCTATCCCCTCTCATTATACTAGTTGGTTGATGTTGTTCCCTACAAATTCACCCATCAACCCTCGGGCATCACCAGTGTCTGAGGCCATATTTATAGGGACCAGAAATAAGATCAGGTCAATATAGCCATGATGTATCTGGGTTTCGTTGGTACCCTCTGGTAAACTAACATAACTATGGAAAATCACCATTTTTAATGAGAAAACTCACTATAAATGGACATCTTCAATAGCTATGTTAAACTACCAGAGGGTAACATATTTATGGTTTGTTTCACATATCCCTTATGGCCTTACGTACTTGTAAGGCCATAATAACACCCTATGAGGGGTTTTTTTACGGCGGTAATATCATTAAAACAAAAAGACACTTTATAATATACATTTAATGATATCATATCCCGTATCACACACTTGCAAAGAACTATGATAACAATATTCCCTAAGAAATACGGTGCACCGTCCATTTACTAGTGCGATGATTTGATTAAACAAATCGGTGATTTATACAAAGATGCGTTTGTTTTTCCAAGAAATACATAAATATTATATACAATAGTATCATTGTTATTAACATAATTATGGGCCTCTATATATATATATATATGTATTTATTTATTTATACACAAGTATATTCAACTGACGGTGGTAAAGTACCCCAGCTTAAGATATTAATTATATGCTATATCTCCATCAATGTTGGACTGTTGGATGCTTCAAAACCATACATACCCTCTGGTAAACTAATATAGCTATTGAAAATGGCCATTTATAGTGGATTTTCCCATTAAAAATTGTGATTTTCCATAGTTATGTTAGTTTACCAGAGGGTATGTTGGTTCAACCCATATTTCATGGTTATCATATCAATCATTTTATAAACGATCAACCAGGCTACAACTCCAAAATAGCTCGCTTACATTTGTTGGTTTATAAACCCCAATACTATACTATATTTATATATAATTAAGGAACTAAAGTATCATAACCATACTCAAACGATCAAAGTATAAGTATATATATATATTATAATAATTCTATTAATTCATGTAATAACATCCCAGCCATGAACCAGGCCTTAGGGCCTCCAGGGCCGAGGCACATCGAGGTGGAGCCCGTGATGGGATCCACCGCGCGGACGCAGAAGCGCACGGCTTTGCCGTCGGCCACGCCATCGGCTTCGGGCGGATGCAGCAGACCTGGAGAACTGGAGGATTTACTTGGCGATTTACTTGGGAATTACTTGGGATTTCTAGGCTTTACTGTTGGGTTACCTGATTTCCTTGGGAATTACCAGGGAATTTTAGGCTTTACTGTTGGGTGAAAACTATTTTGGGTTTTTGAGGATTTACTGTTGGGTTAACTGTTGGCTTTACTGTTCGAGTTTAGTGTTGGGGTTCACTTGGACGAGGCTCGGCTTCACTGTTGGGTTTTTGAGGGTAAGATGGGGTTAAATAAAGTTTACTGTTGGGTTTAATGTTGGGTTTAATGTTGGGTTTAATGTTGGGTTCACTATGTTTAACTATTGGGCTTAGGGACTATACCGTTATACCTTGGTTCTATAGATACAAACAAATCCCCAATTCACCTTACAAATTGAAGCATTGAAGCATATGGGTTTGTCTGAAAAAATGCTATCCCCAAATTTTGATGGTTCACAATTCTCCTCCATAGTTTGATGGCAAGTTTCATGGCCATGTCTCCCCTAAAATTCATGGGGGGTAAAACGGTAAAACCTATCCTCCGACCATGGCCTGCTGGAAACTCCATGGCTAATTCGATGATGATGATGATTTTCCCAGCTTTTTCAACCGCCATTTGCTTCGGGCATTTCAGCCATGTACTTGGAGGACCCCCGTTAGTGAGTGGTGGGTGTGTCAATGACCATTTCAGGAACCTATTGATTGGAGGTACCTACCATGTATCAGGCCTATATAAAGCCTATGTAAGGGAATATCCCCGCAAAATATGGCCAAACATATGGTGCAGTACCTCCATTTTAGGATCCTGAAATTCCCATTGATAGTCTATGCGGTGATAACCAATTTATAAATGTGAACAACCCCACGAATCGGGGACTAACGACTGACTAACGAAGGTTCTTAACCACTTACTAGGCAGGAAAATCCTCCAAGCAGTCAGCACTATGAATCGTTGATGAGGGTATCAATGGTATATCAAATGGGATATATAGATATATACATACACATACCAACAGTATATGGAGGTTTCCTAAAATAGTGGCAACCCAAATCATCCAAAATTAGACCATGTAAGTATTTAAACATATTTATAGACCCCTGGTGACTTGGGGATCCCCCATTTCAAGAAACCCCCAGATACTTGTTTTATCATGGCCAGTATGGATTTCCTGCAGCCCAAGTATACGGCCCAAACGCAAAGGTTCTGACAAGGTCGTGCACCCCCCTCAGTTATAAGTTGATTTATGAATCCCATTATCCATAGACATATGGGGCTTTCTTAAAATGGGGGAATCCCCAAAACCATTGGTTGCAATGCCAAACTGGTCATGACTTGGATGATTTGGGGGTCCTAGTTACCTAGTTAAACTAAGCATAAACCATAGTATACCATAGTTGCCATAGTTAACTGTATGAAAACTGACCTAGTCGTCATTTTCACCACCTTAACTCTCCTGGCTGCACACCACTCTCCAACTGGCTGCACCATGGTGCCTTCCACCGTGCCCTCCGCGGTCTTCCGGAGGAAGACGGGCAGCGGATAGCGCCACACCGCGCTGCGTTGACCGAAGCAGCTCTGGTCTTCCTGGTCCGCGTGCAGCTGCGCCGTGTCCTCGGCACGTGTCATCCTTAAATGGGTTATACAGGATGGGACCCCCGTTCGAGCTCGCGTTCAGTTGCCTGATTTGTGGCTGAATTCTATGGTGTATGGTAGATATATACAACTAGTTACTAACTAGTTAATGGGGGTTATAATGGTTTATAAACTAACAAACATAACTGGGGGGGCCCCATCCTGTACCCAAGGTGGGATAACATAGTGGCTTAAATTAGATAATGGTTAATAGATGTTAATAGATGCTAATAGATGTTACCAGTGGTTATTGTTTTTAGAACAATACCCCCAGTTGGATTAATGGTTTATCCTCTGGTAATTTCACAGTTTGCTATGGAAAATGGCCCATTTATAGTTGATTTACCCATGATAAATTGTGATTTTCCATAGTTTTTTGTGTATGTTCACCAGAGGCTAAGGGGACTTAGTTTCATGGCTATCCCCACTAATGGGATGAAATATGGCCCTCACATCCAAGACGTTGTTCACATGGCATCTCTACATGAAGAAAAAATCGATGTTTTTAGCCGCCATGGCTGGTTTTCGGACATGTTCGGAGATGTCACATGGCATGATTAATCCCATTTCTGTGGTGAAGATATGTTGTGCCAAGTTGTGCTAGAGGTTTCTTTGAAGATGATCATATACCATGGTTAGTAAGGGAAATCATCCCCAAATGGCCCAACAATTCAGGTTAGTGAAATATTGTAATTTACCCAGATATATACATACTGTATATATATATATAAACACGTCATGTACCCTCTGGTAATGACTAACAGTTTGCTATTGAAAATGGAACCTAGAAATAGTTGATTTACCTATTAAGGATTATGAGTTTCTACCTATATAATATATATATATATATGGTTGGTGGTTGACCTACCCCTCTGATAATATGAAAGTCAGTTGGGGTTATGATTCCCAACTGAATGGAAAAAAAGTTCCAAACCACCAACCAGATATATATATATATATAAACATCATGTATCTCATGAGAATGATCGAATTTGTGTGCAAACAGGAAACATATTCACTATGAATAAGACATTGTGAATATAAACAATCAATCTACTGATGGAAAAACGATCATATCTCACGTTTTTAATGTGGAGATAGCATATTGCTTTCTTGGGAAATTATCTACAATCATCAAAACATATATGTATTTTCATATACGAATTAGTAGCTCCTTCAGCTAGCACATATCCCTAGCCAAGTCATCTTGAATTAGATACCGCCTTCCCTCTAACTTGTGCTTTAACCATTAAAATCATTTAAAATCATCACCTTTGCTGGATATAGCTGTCATATCTCTGACCGGAAAAGACAATAACACGATAAACTTATCCATAGCAGTTCCCAGCTCAACCTTTGGATAGTTTCATGATTCCACCTCCATTTCATATCCCGGTTCCGGCGATCTCATCAATAGATGATTTTCCACAATTCTCCAATGAATGTCCCGAAAAAACCAGCATTTTCCGAGCATTTTCCCATGATGTTTCTCCGAAAAAAACACCGATATACCCAGGATTTTCCCATGATTCTCCTAAAAATCACAACGATTTTCCAGCATTTTCCGAAAAAATGCTACCTTTCCCACCCATCCAACATCATCCAACCAGGCTTGGGCACGGCTTCGGCTTCCTCCCCGGGCACGGTCCAAAAGACCTCGTAGTCCAAGGCCTTGACGTCCTCCTTGGCGCCGTCGTGCGGCGCCCAGCGCAGCGTGAAGGATCCACCCAGGCCGCGGTCGACCAACACGGCGTGGCTCGGTTGGGGAGGAGCGGGACGTTGGGGCATGGTGACCTGCAACGTGGGATGGCCATATTGAAGGAGATATGTATAGATTATATGTATACATATATATATATATGTATATATATATATGTACATATGATGTATGTATGTATACACATATACATACATACATAGACTGTACATATAGGATGACTGCATGTAATGTACATATTCAATTGTAAAACCATCGAAAGCCATGGATCCAACGAACCAGGTTGATGGGATGATTCCGGTCATTGATACGAAACCAGCTTGTAGTAATCCCCAAAAGATGCTGAGTGGAAAACCTGGAAACACGTTTCTGTAATTTTCTATATTTGTTTGATTTTGGAAATGGGGGTTGCTATACATGGGCTTAGTCTGAAAATGGAGCAGAATCTGAGCAAATTTCAGCCAAAATGATGGCCTAACCTTGATAAAGCAGTGGATTTTGGATGTTCCTAACATGTTCAAACGAAGCGAGATGGATTCTGGGGCCCAAGTGATCCAACAAGTCTACATTGCCAAAGATAACATGGAATCTGACAATAGTTCCTCAAAGACTATGTTTGTTTCCTCTTCAACCCACCATTCAAAACCTTCACAAACACATCATGCCAGCCACTAATTATACTAGTTAGAGAATATCGTCTCCATCCTATTCCATCAAACCATCAATCTCAGGATCCCATAATTCTCCCATCTCACCAATTATCTCCCAAAATCCACCAAATCGCTGACCCCCCAAAAGAAACGTGCCATGTTTAGATGATTTTTCTACTTCCATGCCACTCCACCCACCTCCACCCCGGGGGAGGCCAAGCTCTCCAGCCCCGGGGCCGTGGCCCCCGGGGCCACGGCCCCAAAGGACGCCACGGCCCAGGACGCCGCGCCGCCGTCGCGCGGCGTCGCCACCGGGGATGCCGAGGGCGTGCGCTCGTCGAGGCTCCGGCGCCGTGCGGGGCCGTCGCGGCCGTCGCGGCCGTCGGTGATGGCGTGAACCTGTGGGGTTTACCCCTGGGTGGTGCCGGGTGGTGCCGGGTGGTGCCGGGTGGTGCCGGGTGCTGTTTTCGTGGAACTGTTGGTGGAATTGAAGTCTCCATAGTCAGAAACTCATAAGCATAGCATAGTAATTCGAGTTTTTCACGTATCACCCGGCATCCGTGGGATGATCCTCCAAGATCCGTGGGAATATCACGTGGGAATAGGACAAGATGATGATGGCTTTTTAGCAGCCATTTTTTCCAGATTTCATGGACAATTCGCAGGGATATCAAGAGATGACAGAATGTGGCAAACATTCTGTAAGTTTGCCTAATGGGTTCTTGCAATATTTGGGATGATGTAAAATTCCCCCCCAGATTGTTGACGGGGTTTAAGGGTTTAACGGTTTCACAACCAGAAAAAGCTACGGTTTAACCAGCAACATCGATTTCGATGAAGGATTTCTGATGGGCTTCAGTTCGGAAACTTAGCTCTATATATACATGATATAATATAATGTTATGTATAAGTATGTGTATATATATATATATAGTGTGTATATGCAAACTAAGATTCACGACGGACATATATCATCATATATCTATAGTTGGATTGGGTTTTCGACCCACTTATAACTGGGGGTGTATTTATTGTAGGTCCAATGAAATGTTGAATGGAAGTGGTAACATAAATTCATCGATCTATTTACCACTAATCCATTAAGCATCCAATAATTTTGAATTCTGTTTAAGGTTGACTGGAATGTTAAAAATAAATGTTATATTCAAAATGATTATTCCAAAACATCTCAATGGTCATCAAAATGGATTCTACAATGTCAATATAGCTCTACCTTCTGACACCAATCAATACATGGTCTCCATGTTTGCTACGTCTGCTCCATCTTCGTTTTTTTTTCAGTGCCAGCGGTGCCTGGAATTTGTAGCGGACACCGGGCAGCAGACCATTCACTTCGTGGGTCAAAAATTTTGTTCGTTTCTTCTTCAGATGCGACCAGACCATCTGCCTCTCCTGGAACGAAGGATGCCCTGATTTCTTCAACCTGGATTCTGGGGGTTCCTAGGGCTACCTGAAATCAAAGTTAGACCATTTTTGTGTTGAAAGCCATGGGTTTTTTGGGGTGCCCTCATTTTAGGAAAACCCCTATATTTTTACCTAGCCCAGAGAGAAGCCCTTTAGGTGTTCCATCATCAAACATATAGATAGTGTGTTCATCAGTTCATCACAATTGACATATTGAGGATCCGACCAAAGGAAGATGAGACCAAGAGAAATTCTGATGTGACTCGGGACTAAACAGGAGAATGTAACGAGCATGCAGGCTATTCACCACCTGATTCTTGGAGATAGTTGTTGAAACTGGAAGTCGATATGTTTCTCCCACATTCGATCAATATGGATCTACCAAGCCGCGCTCAGCCTAGCCCATGTTCAAAACAATAGTGTTAAGCCCAGAAAGCTTCACAAACTGCTGCCACGTTCTGCATTTCTTCCATTAAAACAGAAACATGGTCAAGCTTTGGTAGTCCACAAAAGTGAATCTGTTGATATCTTTTGCTGGTTATCTTTTGATTTTACATCTCTAGCCTACAACTGACGGATTTTCCACTACCTCTCCAGTGCTGAAAAAACACAACCAGTGCGGTCCTGCGAATCTGTATCCTGTTCGATCTCCAACCCCATGGGTTTCCCCCGCACCACGTAGCGGAAATGCTGCTCTCGCTCCCCACGGCTGGTCATGGGAGCATGTGGAGCCTCCCACAGCAGACGGATGGAGGTCGGTGTGAGGGAGGCCGACTCCGTCCTGAGGCAACGGAGCAATGGATTGGTCCATCAAAGGCTATCAAAGGTGGGAATTCACTGATAAAAATTGGAGGTTTGGAGCTGGGAAATCGAACTCTTTTTTGGTTGGTTTTTGGAGGTCCAAATGTGAGTTGCCTCCACGAACTGGGATAAACATGGATAAACTGGGTGTCAAACTTACCCCTTACCTTCTAGTGATTTAAGATAGCACTGGGAAATAGCTCATTGATGGATAATTTACCCCTCAAAAAAAAATGATGTTCCAGTTCGCAAACTAACATTCCCATAAAAGGTGGTGCCCCAGTTCGTTAGCTAAGTTGGTGAACATAACTCCAATAACTTGGCTTTATTTATGGTAGATATACCAAATTACTTTTCATGGGCTTATAAACTAACATTCCCATCACTGGGGCACCATTCCCATACCAAACAACCAGTATCTTCCCATCACATCAAGCGTCATCACCCTGCCAGGCGCCGGAGGGCGCAGCTGAAAACGGGCACTGCCACCCACCTGAAGCAACGGCTACGGATGAACGGGTTGAAGCACCCTTAAAGTTGATGTGTCACCGGCAAAACTCGCAGGCTTTTTTGTTTTATGGGTTATGGATTTTCAGAAACCTCTGTAAACATAGATAGTTAGGCTATAAGAATTGGGCTTCTGAAACTTATGGTAGATATATCTATGAATGGATGAAAATAAACCAACGAGAACTGTGGGCCCTTCCTGCATTAACTAATATAGTTAGGTGTGGGTTTGAATTTCCCAGAGTCCCAGGTTCACCAATTCAATATAGCCTCCGGCAATGAAACATGGCAATCTAAAATCCTACATTTGCAGCAATGTAAAGATATGATGTTCCCATTACACTACAACCTCCATTTATAATCATTTTTTGGGGGATGTCCAGGGTGTCCACTCTCACGCCCTGAAAAAAACCATACCGGGTAATGAAAAACCATAAAAATTGAGATAATATATATATATATACATAATATAAAAAAAATACATAAAGATATTTAGGATGATATACATAATATATAATTAATATCTAGATATAGCAAGTGACCATGAATTGAGCTGGATGGTTTCAATTCATTCATCCCCAGGAACTGGAAGAACCAAACTCTAGCTGGATGATTGACCATCTAAAATGGTCTCATCATATCTGATCATATCAGAATATAAACATCTTTCCCCACAGCCAAGTCTTTGCGGCCATAATATTGATCTGGCTGAAAAAATAATTCATGAACCTGAAATCAGATAACATGTTCTGGAAAATCATGAACAAATCATGTAAAAATCCTGAAGAATCATCCGAACTTCGATAGCATTGTCCAATATTCAGGATAATTCTCTGGTTGGTGGTTTCAATCCCTCTGACAAATATGAATGAGTTCGTCAGTTGGGATGATTATTCCATTCCCAATATGATGGGAAAGTCATTGAAAATTCCATGGTTCCAGTCACCACCAAGCAGATTCATCAGATTCTGCAAAAATTCTACCTGGGGATTCATGATGATTCCCCTAACTCATATAACATATAACCACCCATAGCCATGGTAAAATTCTTTCAGCAGGCCAGGCCAGGCATGGTTGCTTTGGAATGCGTAGATGGCTTTATCAATCCCATTAATGCCATGGGATTTTCTCGCAACCCGCCAGGTGAAAAAAAAACTATGGGAAAATCTATGGGAAGATATCTAATAATATCTAATGGGAATAGATAATCTGATTCTAATATTGGGATAATCTTATCTGATAACATCAAAAGATCATTATCTATTGATCCAGTGGGATATGCTCCATGGTGTTGGAATATTACCAACAAAACTGCCCAGCAAAAGTCACCCATTTATGATCTGGTTTTTATACCAGCACCATGGGTTGCATATGGGAATGGTTTATCATCTTTTCTTCCAACTTGAACATGATGTCACATTGTCGGTAAAAGTCTCCAGGATTCTGTTTTCGTCCATCCACATCTTCATTGGTGAACTCTCGAATTCTTGCTGCTGGCATTATCCGTATCTCAGTTGTTTCACTCCCAGTTTCTGTAACTTAATTCACTCCATTTTCCGTTGATTAACTCCCAGTTGTTTGTTTTCGAACTAGATATATCCAATGTTTTGGTTGGTATAAACTCCCAGTTTTTCTCTTTTTGAGTACATATTTCTACATATCTCCTGCCTGATTTCTACATGATGTCTACATCTTTCTAGATATTTCCATTCAAAAATCCCGACAAGTCCAATGGTCAACTCCTGTCGCCCGTCCTGCTAGTCCCCGGCCCAACCGGTCCGACCGCTCCGACCTGTTTGCCGATGGCCATGGCATCCGGCGACGAGAAGATGCGGAGATCCGCCGCGCCCAGGTCCAGTTGGCTCACGCCGGGCCAGACTTGCAGACGCACCACGCCTGGACCACCGCCGCAGTTCTTTCCTATCCCATGACGGATCCATGGTGCTAACATGTATGTAAACATGGTATATATAACCTATGGAATATATGGTATATATGCTAACATGACTGGGGTATATTGATGGCAAATGTTACCATATATACCAGCACCATGGATCCTATGGGTATGCGTAATGCGTACCCTCTGGTAATTTCACGTAGCTATTGAAATAGTGATGATCATAGTGGTTAATAGTGATCAATAATGACTAATAATGACTAATAGTGACTGTTCAGGATATACCCTCTGGTAATTTGTGACCGTTTGCGAACTTGAAAATGGCCATAGAAATAGTGGATTTACCCATTGATAGCATGGTGGATCTTTGCATTGTTTTTTGTAAACGTTTACCAGGCCGGGTAACTCTGAGTCAAAACCCTCGCACCCAGATTGACCTTGGCTGGATCTGAAATTTCCATCAATTACGTGTTTCGCTGACCGATTTTGCCAAATATAGTACCCCCATATGCGAACCATGGTGCTGGAATATTTACCAACATTTGCCCAAAAAATCACCCAGTTATGTAGGTAAATATGCCAGCACCATGGGTTGCGTTACTGGGAGGTGGTGATTTTTCTCGCAAGCCACCATGAAACTGGGAAATTCCCCAGTTGAAGATATGGTCTTTACCATGGGTTATATATATGGTGATTACCCGGCCTGGTAATTTGCAACCTAACTATTGAAAATGGACATGGTGATTTCCATATAGCTATGTCAGTTTACCAGAGGGTAGCAATCATACCAACAATAATGGAAATATAGGGAGATATATAGGGAACACGATGGAAATATGAAAGATATACAGGGTTTATAATGGTGCATATGTAAAGGGTATATAATGGCAACAGAATGGAAATATTCGTGATTGGCCATATTAGTCCATATTAGCCACCCAGAAAAAATCTCGTTGTACGATGTTTTGCTATGGGACTGTCTGAAAATTCTGCATACCCCCGCTACTTTTCATAGGGAAAATGATAATGGGACTGATTCACTAGTGGATTTAGAGGTAGCCGATTTTCAGACAAACCCAATGGGTAGCCTATGATGTCTAATCTTGTCTGTAACTGGCTTAAATGTCTGTACTACTTGGAGGATAAACAGGAGACATCCGAGGAATTTTCATGGAATGATCTTCCAAGTCAAATGCAGCATGGGTTTTTTTACAGGGAATTGATATGGTTTTTTTTTCTTAGATTTTTTTGATCATCCCAATGAGGGAAAGGAATGGAAAAAATGGATGGCCATGGCACGTGGGCTTAGTTAAGTTTAGCCACGTAAAGAAATGGGGGCCACGTGTGCAAAACTCCAATTTCACTTGGCTTTATGGTAGATAATTATACCTATGCTACAACTCATATTTTCTATACTATCCCTATACTTTTCATGGGGGTTATAACCTAACATTCCCGTCGGGGGGGCACCGGGCACCCATCCGTTGATCGATGATCCTCCAAGGAGGATCAAGTCGATCCCAGTCACTGAAGAAATACTTTATTGGATGATGTTTATTAAGTGACTGGGATACTTGATGATACTTACATACTTACATATAATATATATATATATATCATCCCAGTTTATTGGATGTCACGGAAAATATCACTGTATATTAAACTGGGATGATATGTATATATATATAAACGTCATCCCAGTCAGCAAATGTTTAAAGACATGTAAGTTAATAGCGAATAACGATTCGTTCTCATCGCAGCTTAATACAGTTTAATACAGTGTAATACAGTTTAATACATAGAGTTTTTCCAATCGCATGTTCCAAACAATTATGGTATGGTATGATAAACTATACTATTTACTATCCAACTTTTTCTTTTCATGGGGATTATATATCAACTAACTTTCCCATCGCGCAAAAAACGGCACGTCCCCGTCGCCTTCACCACTGCGGTTCAAGGAGAACTTGGGTCCCGTCATCTCTGTGACCGTCTGACGTCCCAGCATCCAACTGCCACCACCACCTGGCGAAACGGACGTCGACGGACGAGGTGGTCCATGATACCGCTTGGTGATTTAACGTAGCTTTGGAAAAGCACCATTTTTGATAGGTAAACTATGAAAAAACATCATTTTTGATAGGTAAACTATGGAAAAACATCATTTTTGATAGGTAAACTATGGAAAATCATTTTTGATAGGTAAATCATCATGTTTCTCCTCCAAACATGGAACATTTTCCAGTTCGCAAACTGTTAAATAGCCAGACGGGAATTGACTGATGAATATGATCATTAGCCATGGCTAAGTAATAATGATAACTTATGATAATAATGATTACTATATATCTTGTGATGATTACTTATGATGATAATTCTTGGATCTCTTATATGATTATAGTTATATGATAAAAAATGGTTCATAAAGTACGGTCAATGTTTCTATGGTGAATCTAGGTACTTAATATATAGTATGATCACTTTAAGATGGTGAATCATGCGTAAGTACGCTTAGAGATACTTCTGAGTTCAGTTGGAACTTTCTCATCTATACGTGCGTAAGAATTGACAAAAAAGAAGACAACATTGACCAAACATTTGCGCTGCAATAAGGGCGTCTCTAGTCAGAAATATATACATCATGGATTTTCTTTTTTTTTTTGAGGGCCTCCTACGCCAGAGAATTATATAATGCCTTGGTGCACTGTGACATACTGTGACCATGTTCATAAGTTGGCATAAGTTGTGCCCTATGATGGCCATAAGTTGGGGACCGCAAATGACATGTGGAACGTAGTGGAACTGCACCCCCAAGTCACGGTTGGTCAAACCTGGGAACTTCCGAATGGATTCACAGTTCTTTGCCACATATTTCATGTTTCATGATGTTTCATGTCCAAGTAAGAAACAGTATCAACATGATCCAAATCCAACTTGCCACTCCCAGTAATGCTCCATGGTGCTGGAATATTTACCAACATTTATCCTCATGATGGCCAAAGCTGGCGAGGACCACCTAGCTGCGATGTTGGCCCGAATCCATGTTGTAAGGGTTGCATCCATGTATCTAATGGACATCGTATCTACTTGCTTTCCTGCTGTATTTTTGCTGCCGAGAATGGTCAATGAACATGTATACTATATATCACAATATCTGGTTGGCGGTTTGAGCCCCTCTGAAAAATATGAAAGTCAGTTGGGATGATTATTCCCAATATATGGAAAATAAAACATGTTTCAAACCACCAACCAGATATAGAATGTGCATTCATTTTTGTCAAATCCATATCCCACATGAATTCCCTGCTTTTTCTTTAAAGCAACCACCTTTTGGGTCGTCATTCAGAAGCTCGCGCCTGAAGTCCAGTACATGTTGGAAGGTACCAAGGCGATAAACGAATGCTCTCGCAGTTGCGACTGAAGTTCACGTGGAACTCTGTAGCGACAAATCCTGGTTGGTGGTTTTTCGCTACCTGAAAAATGATGGACAACTCGTCAGTTGGGATCATGACATTCCCAACTTTTTATGGAAAGTCATTCAAAATTCCATGGTTCCCAACCATCAACCAGAGGTTATTAACCATCAGTAACCATCAGTAACCATCATTAACCATCATTAACCGTCATTAACCATCATTGTCCCATACTTTTTATGGAAAAATAATCCAAAAGTTCCTAAAACCATCAACCAGAATCATGGTTTCCCCGATGCTCGCAGAGATCCGGTCCTTGGCTTCGAAACGCGGCTGGTGAATCGAGCTGGATGGTTTTCCATGGGAAAATCCAAAAATTAAAAATCATCCATTGAAAAATGGTTGGTTTATTAAATGGAAAATCCTATAAATGGATTATTTGGGGGTAGCCCTATTTTAGGAAACCACCATATGGCTGAGTTTTTTCAAGGAACTTTGCGTAACTTGGAGTGGCTTTGGTCCTTTGAATGCCCCACTATACCCCATTTCCATGTGGATTCTGGGTTCTACATCGTGGGTCCGGGAGAATCTTGTCCGACTGCGTGGCCAAACCAGTCGAGTTTGTATCCCTGGAACCCAAAAGAATCAAGCCATCTTCAGGGTTGGACCGTTGGACCTTCGTATTGGAGGCTCCTTTCGCCAATTTCTTTCGGAGACATCCAGGGTAGTTCCAGACATTTTTGGGCAAACATCAAGGACCGCCTGTTTTTTACGGATTTGCGAAAGGGGCCCTTCAAAAGTACGGCAGCAGATTCCCCATATTGTGGATCCGAATGGAGAATTCATCTTGTTTGGGATTAACCAGTGAAGAAATAAAGATCACCTTGAGCATCCTTCAGCATACCATGTCGGATATATCATGATGTCTAGGTGTCTAGACTCGGCCCAGATCACCAAATGGCCAAGTGCAGAATGCTCATTCACCACAGACACCCCTTTTTTGTTCATTCACAGACTGTGGTTCATGGCTTCCAAACAAACTTATTCAAATTTCAGCCACAACAACTCAAGGCCCTCAAGGCTCTCTTGCAGGCTTCCTGTATCATCATGAATCCATAGAATTTTCCCATCGCAGTTGGTCCAAACTTTGTGCCCTATGAGATCATCTTGAATCATCGCACATCCCCAGTTGAAACTTCGAGGTGAAATTTTGCCGCATTTCAATCCAGAAAAAAATCCGAATGTTTGTAGCTGGTGCAAAAATCCGCATTTAAGCCAGTTCATTTCCCCAAATGTTGCTGGTAAACTCCCTCCAACCCACATCAAACCATCTGAAAGTATCTCAGACTCAAACTATCGGTATAGTTACCGGCACAAAGTATAATCCCCATCTACTATCAACTAACCGTACATCACCACCAATCACCAGTTTTTTGGTGTAGCACGCAACAAAATCCCATGGACCAACAAATGATTTTGGAAGATAATTTTCCAGTGAAGACTTCAAAAATTCGGGGTCCACAGAGAATTTGCGGTTATATCCTAACTCCCCCAAGTCGCCATCTTAGTTGTTTCAATCAGCAAATTTGGTTGGTCAAGTCAAGTCACCATCTCATTTGCTGAAGTCCACCGTTTTTAGTCATTTAACCATGGGTGAACTCCATATTAAAAAATATCAACATCGTTTATAGATGATGTTCATTGATTTCGCGAAAGCTCCAGCTCCATTTACTAAATTATTACCTGGTTAAATCCCCATTTTACACAAGGGGGAGTAAGTTATGGGGATTTCCATGGATTATAGATTCCAGGTTCATTTTTATAAAAATGGGGATTGTCAGGATTTTCATTGATCAATGAACTATGTTTTTTCGATCATTTAACCATGGATTTTCCATTAAAAATGGGGATTTCCAATGGGGATTTCCATGTTTACCCTCTGGTAAACTAACATAGCTATGGAAAATGGCCATTTATAGTGAGATTTCCCATGAAAAATGGTGATTTTCAATAGCTATGTTAGTTTACCAGAGGGTACCTCATCCCCAGACTCCAGGTGCAACAAAAACCTCTCGTGACCCGTGGCTAAATTTTCGAACCGCGTCTCCAGGGCCAAGACCTCGCTGAAGGCCGTGTTGCTGGTGAGCTCCGAACGGATGGCGCCCAGCGTCACGGAGAAGTACTTGGCCTTGAAGGCACCGTAGGCCGCCTCCACCTGGGACGGGACCGCGCTGTTGGTGGTGGGCTTAGATTTATGATGATTATAGGCTGGAAAATCCCAATGATCAATGTTTATAGATGTTCATAGATGTTTATAGATGTTTATCCAACTTGGGACTGGATGATCATTTAGTTCAATGATTTTCCCAGCTATAAACATCCATTTATAGCGGAGTTTCATTGAATTTCGCCTAAATTTTCACCTGTATTTTCATGGATCTTCCCAACATCCATATCCAGTGGATTGTCCCAGCGAACTAAACCTCTATTTTACTTACTTGGGTTGATTTTCCCATGGATCTAACACATGGAAATCCCCATAAAACTCCCCATGTGTGAATTGACTCCATTTTTAACTCCCCATCTGTTTTCTTGGAATTGTCACCTTCTCCTTCCGTTTTCCTTCCGTTTTTTCTTCGTTTCGCCCCCTGAAAGGTGCCCACCTCGCCCTCCGTCAGGGGCGGCTGGCACTTCAACTGCGGGATGCGCGGCTTCGTCGCCAGGCCGCCCTTCGTCAGACCCAGCGAGGGGCCCAGGGAACTGTCGAGGCCAAGGCTGTCGCCTGGTGAGTTCCGGGTGGACCTGGAGGACCTAGAGGACCTGGGAATCTGCGAAGGGAAATCCATGGGAAAAGCTTGGGAAAAATCTGAAAGTATGGAGAAACCACAGAAAAACCATAGGAAAAATCATCGAAAAATCCATGACAAATCTCCTACTGTAGGGTTTTCATGAAAAGTTTGGCAGATAACGGAACATCCCATTTGGTTTCCATGAAAATGTCTGCAGTATAACCTTTGCTGAATGTTGAGATGGGGAATTGGGGGTGGGATACACAGCAAAAAAATCTGATTTATGGTACTTGGTATCTATAGGAAATTGTATCTAACAAGGATTTTTTTATTGGGGATATACAACAAAAATAAGTCCGATGATTAGTGGTTGAATGTGGTTGATTAATGTTAGTCAATATGTTAGTTGGCTGCTTCAATTGGATGTGATCAATACATCTCTGCAGTTTGAAGTACCAAGACAGATCCCACCCAACCAATCAATCAACCCCCCCATGGTTAGTGTGTGTGGGCTTATACAGATCAAACAATATCAAACAATCATATCTAGAATGACTGCAGGGAATATGGAAAATCCGATTGAAAAATTCGTTCTTGGAAAATACCATGATGGTTGGTTGTAATTACCCTAAGGATTACATTTTTTTCATCCCAAGTAGATTTCGAACCCCCAACGAAACATCGACCAACAGTGGGCCTGGGTTGGCGTTTACTCCACAAACTTGTCGAAAGGTCTGCAGATTCCTTGGTGAGTCGTGTTGAACGACTTTTTGAATTGGATCAACGTTGGGCAATTGGCCCACAATTAGAAAATTGAGTAAGTACTATGGAAATTACTAGGGAAAATGGGTGTTGTTACTATGGAAATTACCATCTTTTTGTTCATTGCTACTGTAAAAGATATGGAGGAGTAATGCACCTGGAATCAGTCAACCTTCCCCAACAAGGTTCATTTTTTGGGTGGGGCCTGACTTGTGAAGTGAATCTTATGGAAAAAAATGATGGCATGTGAAACGTAACTTTTGCCCAAGTGATTCGGGACTCAAGAGTTCCATGTTAGACTTCGAGAAATATTGACATTTTACCCTCCAGTAAACTAACATAACTATGGAAAATCACCATTTTTGATGAGTAAATCCACTATAAATTGCCATTTTCAATAGCTATGTTAGTTTACAAGAGGGTATGTCAGTAAAGCAATCAATTTCCTTCAGACTCATACAAGTATGACTCGATGCTGCCACTTCCACTTAATTACATTCAATTGCGGTATGTTTGGGGACGGATTACTATTGTTACTATACCAACATGACACTTGATTCGCTGATTCACCTGATATCCCACTGCCCTTGATCTCACCGCTTTCCCAAAACATAAAACGTAGAAACGAAATGGGACATGTCTTCCGAACATGGCCCATCTGGGCCCTTATTTTCCGCAGGAAAAATTGAATATGACTATAGTCTTGCAGTCTTACCATTGAAATTTGGATAGTGGTCCTGGAAAATCATATATGTTCACATGGTGGTTTCCTGAAATAGTACCCCTAAATCATCCACGTTAACGATATTTTCCATTATAAACCAACCATTTTGGATACCATTTATGGAACCTCCCAAAAAGAAATCGGATAATTTCGGGATAAGTCCTCCAACTTCCAGAAAAAACCCGGTGCGTGCCGTGGCATGCCCCAGCTTCAGGTCGCCATCCAACATCGGGGACTGCAGCCGTTTGGCCACGTCCTCCATCTTGCCGCCCACCTGCCGGTGGGCTTATGACTAACCGTTTGCGAACTGGAAAATGGCCATAGAAATAGTGAGTTATCCTATTAAAAAGGGTGATTAAATAGTGAGTTATCCTATTAAAAAGGGTGATTATCCATAGTGATGTTAGTTTACCAGAGGGTCAGAGGGTAACAACTATAGAAAAAACTGGGATGATAACTATAGTTAGTTGGGATAATATAGAAAAAAACTGGGATGATATTCATCATGATGGATATCTGACTTGACCTATTGTACTGGGATATTATGGTAATAGTATAGTTATAGAATGTTATAGAATTATAGTTTCCCCCAGGGGATATCTATGGTATTGTCAACTATGTAACTAACTAACTGAGATGATAACTATCCGTATAGTTGCATAGTTATATAATGTTATATAACTGGGATCATACATGATACCTATAGTATCCTATAGTTCACTGGCTGATACAAGGTGGTGCCCCCAGTTATAAATTGCTTGATAATCCTAAAACAAGTATAGATAGAATATGATATAATTACCATAAGTCCTACACAAATTGAAGTTATTTGCACCATCTTAGCTACCCTCCGGTAAACTAACATAACTATCGAAAATCACCATTTTTATTGGGTTAATCAACTATAAATTGCCATTTTCAATAGCTATATAGGTTAAATTAACAGAGGGTATCTTGGGGGCACCACCTTCAATGTGTGGCCCCCCAGTTATAAGATGGTTTATAAACCCCATTAACTATAGATATAGGTACCATATAGGTACCATAAACCATAGTTATTGGAGTTATTTGCACCAACTTAGCTATCGAACGGGGGCCCCACTTTGTTGTATTTCTCATGTTTTTCTGTGGCTTCCTGGTTTCACCACCTCGCAGGCCAACCAGGCGCGCAGCGCAAACTCGTGCAGGGTGAAGTCGCCTCCGTGTTGCACCAGCTGGTGATAGCTGATGGCCTCACCTCCATGGCGACACCAAGGGGCTGGACGTCGTCAAAAAACGTCGGCAATGGAAGATGTTCACTGGAGATTACAGTTGGGATGAGATTATGAGATTTTTACAGTCTGTTTAAACCACATTATGGAAATTCTAACTGGATTATATCCCCACTGGATGAAACATAGGATGAAGATTTTTTCCACTGATGCGTTCGGAAGATATGGAGGAGAAGAGTATTACATCAAACCACTATGGGGGATATGGTGGGGATAACATCGGAACAAGCAACTATCAATAGCAACTATCAATAGCAACTATCAATAGCAACTATCAAGTTGATCTGGGCCAAAACATGGGCCAAAAAATGTGGTCGTTACGGCCATTGAAAAACCACTAGGAAATGAATTTCTGGCGAGGCTGGTGAGTCAGTTTGCTACAACTTAGCGTAGGCAGTTTTGATTGAGCGTAGGTCACTTCAAACACAGCTTTTTGTTTGTTCAAGGCCGCGAGAGTTTTCAAGTAACTGCAGGATTCAAGAGAAAATTGGGCAATAACATGCAATGACTAGCGAATTATGTGGGTCATGTGTGCAACCAATCAAACATGGTGATATTTAAACCTTCCAAAGTCTGCGGAAGCTCCTCAAACAGCCTATGATGATGATCAAAGAAGAATGGAAAAGCTATGGAAAATAGGTGTCTTACAGGTGTTTTTGCCTGAAAAAAGGGGACTCCTAAATATCCAGTGGTTAATCGTCATCCTATACCTAGTAGAATTCTCCATAAAATGGGGTGGTTACGGTACATCCCTTTTCAGAGATAGCAAAATACATGTTTGTGCAAACTCAATATGACTACCCATGAATTTCTGCTTTACTTATCTTCAAAGACATGGAATCCACATCTTTAGATATAGTATCACAGCAAAAGATAGAAACGTGCTTCCACTTACAGATAACATGTGTATATATAATAATAATATATATATACAGTATATGTCTATATCATATTTCCAGGTTTCTAACTCTTCTATCTACTTTGGGTTTCCTATAAACTATAAACCTTCCCATGGGATCTTCCCGGTTGCAGCGCACTCATCATTGATCCACCCGTGCCCCCAACCTGTTGGTGAGAGGGTCGAAAAGATGGCCCAAGCGTCCTGGTTTTTTAGTGACGCTAACTGTGGCTTTGTCCATCTTTGTCCCAACAGAAATCTGGGGGAATTGACAAATCAATAGCTGGTGACTTTGCATAAATATCTCGTAAAATTGTTAAAATGATGTGAGATCGCGAAACATTCACTAGACATTGGGAGAATTGGTGGTTTAGGCAGTAAAAAGACCAGAGGATATGTGTACGTCCATCTATTTTAGGTTTGTCGGTTTGTCCTACAAAACAAGGGGATTTAAACAGCAAAAAAGAATGGGTTGTATTCAACCAACCAACCACAACCGGGATAGTAGAATCTAGTACTGTAGAAGTATAACCAGCAAACAATGTACGGTTTGTCCAAAAGTGAGGAATTCGCCTAAAAGTTAGAGTTACGGCCAGTAAACAATGGAGAAACTGCTTATGTTTGACCACGTGACGGAATGCGGTAGCCTAGTTTGAGAGTCACACATTGAAACACCCTGAAATGCCCCTGAGTGCAAAGATGGTATGTATCGCAAGCAATCATCGGGGATGTAAGTGGGACTCACTTAAGACACGTCTATACCAACTATACAATGTGGTGCCCTCAAAGTTCAATGCTAAGTTGGTGTATAACTGAAATTTAACTATGGTTTATGCAGTTTATGCTACTTGTAACTAGAATATTGCTGAGGACTAGACCAACAAACAAAACATTGGGGCCCCACATTGCAACTTGGATCAAGTTGCAGCGACAAAACCAGGATTTTGTCGCTGCTAGGAACCAAACCGGGACCAAATGGGAAGCAAACCCAGCATGGGACTGGCCATTGCCAGTGAATGAGATGATAAAAATAGGAATCAGTTGAGGTCTGAAAAAAATCTGTGCATTTTTTTCTGCAAATATGGCTATGTCTCGAAAGGTGCCCTCCTGGAACCAAAAATTTGCTCAAGACCAAATACATGTATTTCAGTGAAAATCACATGTTGAAGTGTCAATGTTCCATGAAAATTTGACTCAACATGAAATTGTATTTAGTTAATTGATATAATGATCAATGTGACCAATGTTCCATTCACATGGTTAATTGGTTTTAGCATATTTGGTCACCAATCCATCAAACCAATTAAGCATGTGAAATATGTGAAATATTGGCATTTTTATATGGTTCATCCATTTAACCATTAATATGACTAATTAATTGGTTATAAAAATGTTTATAGCATATAATAACTGGTCATTAGTCATTAATTACTAATAATTTTCTATATAGCCATATGTTTCATATATATAATTGGTATGTTTCATTAATTTACTGTAACCATTAATATGACCAATTAAGAAATGGTTATAGCATATTTAACCATCATTTAGCCAGCATTTAACCATGGTTATAAAATTGTTTACAGTTCAATTGACATATTAATATGGCTTCAATTATCCCATAAAAAAAAAAAAAAACTTGGTTCTCTAACCATTAATATGACAATGAATTGGTTATTCATTTGGTCATTTGTCAAGTTCATTGGTCACCAAGGAGCAAGTTTCTCGCGAGACAATTAAGGTGATGTCCCCCCCTGGGGATCATCGATAAAAATTGCTGGATGATTTTTCACCAAGCAGTTTCGTTACCAAGGAATTCTATTGAGCTATTATACATACATATAGATAGATAGAAAGAAAGATAGATAGATCGATAGATACATTCCACATTTCGTGATATTGATAGATCTATCTAGAAGTTATAAAAGCTATAAAAGGATATAAAAGGTTACAATAAGTTCTGTAAGTTAAGTCATGAAATCTCCGTGAACACCGGTGAAACAGTGCTTCGTTGGGACCCCCGTAATGAACGTTGAGACGCCAAGGCACCTCGTAGGAGATATCCAGATTGGCAGCCAAGGCAACAAAGCGAGCCTCAGCGGGTAGATCGTTTGAAGTTTCACAAAGGGTAGCCTCTGGGAATGTGTGACCGTTTGCTATTGAAAATGGCCATAGAAATAGTTGATTTACCCATCAAAAAAATGGTGGATATTTCCATAGTTGTTTGTATGTTTACCAGAGGGTAAATGAATATTGATAAATATACAATACCTGGTTGGTGGTTGAAAAACCATCTTGAAAAATATGAGTTCGTCAATGGGAAGGATGAAATCCCATATATGAAACGGAAAATCAAAATGTTTGAAACCACCAACCAGATACCTACTATTGATAAATAGTATAATTATTAGATAGCCGGGTAGTCTAATTATATAATTAGATACAATTAACTGTTTATAATACCTGCTAGCGTACTACTATCAATTGTACTGTGGTTATAATCATAATAGTACAATTGATCAGTTATATAATTATCACATGATTATAAGTGATAGACTATTACCAACTATCTGGTTATTATCAACTGGTATTAACTGATTATCAACTGTGGGTATATTACCAGATAGTTGGTATTATATAATCACTTGGGATACTATTTTTTCAGCATATGATTACCAAGTATATCTGTTTTTTTTTCCCACAGTTGGTTGATAGGTTTCCCCACGGTCGCTTATGGGGATCAACTAACCACACCTATGTGGATCAACGGGGATTTCTCTGCATGACCGTCTGAAATCATTAATCGGGATATAGATGGATATAGATCTGGGTAAATGAAATCATATTTCACTAGCCTGAATGTTAAGGCCTTTTTTGGGATGATTCATTCCCCTTACTAAATATGATTTCCAGGCTTCGGGAAAACAGTGAGGTCGTCATGAAATTTACGATAGATGGATATAGATGGATACAACTGATGAATGATGCTTGATTGGTGCACTGGATGATTGCCCTATAGTATATAGATACCAACCGTGCATAATTACTGGTTCATGGTATCTATATAACTAGTTAATCATGGCCATGGTTAACATAATTATCTACCATATTACTGAATAATTCACAGGTCCATGGTTAATTAATTACTGGATTAATTACTGGTTCATCCAACTGGTTAACATAATTACGTAATCAGACTGGCCTTTCCTGGAGGCCGTTTGCGGACTCGAACAACTCCCCAAATAGATCAACTGATTTTTCATCCAGCGTGGGAGGTAACAACATCTGCCTCTTCACACATGTGAAGTCCCGAGGAAAAGAGCGGCTTTATGTGCTCCATTTCTGAGATTTGCCTGAAAATCGGGAAACAATTTCCAACAACTGTAGCGAAAACCAATCTAAAACCAACGACTTCAGAGGTCCAAAACAACTTTGGGACCTGCAGTCTACCCACCTGGGTCTACCCATTGAGAGCGATTGAACTCAAGGCCAGGTTGATCAACTCGAGAGTTACCCAAAGTTAATTGGCCAGGTTCAAGCGTTTATCTTTGTGAAAAATCCCAAAGTTTGCCCAATAAACCAATTGTTGGATCATTCATCTGGGTTGACTGTTGAGCAGTGTTCAAAATCTATCATTTGTCTAGCTCCAAAAACCAGGTAACTCAAAGTCCTCTAAAGGAAAGACTTCCCTCCACTGTCATCAAACATGGCTGGAAAATCTAGAAATGGAGACCGCTGGGAAAATCATCGCTCAACGGGAGATATTCCAGCCACCTTTGATTCCCAAAAGGTGACTACATCTTCAGGTACTCAAATGATCTCAAATGAATTGAATATTTACAGATTGGCAATTCAAAGTCTTTAAGTCAAATCGGAAACATTATAGTATATAACTATATATAACTAATATAACATGATATAACTATATAATATGCAATGAAAAAAATGCCACATCGAAAATAGGCCCACAGGTTGCCGCCGAAAAAACCTCACAGCTTGGGGCCAGTGAGATGAAACATCACCAAGGCCAGACTGTAGATTTTCTCCTGGTTCATGTCCAATACCCTCTGGTAATTTAACATAACTATGGAAAATCACCATTTTTCATGGGAAAATTCACTATAAATGGTGATGTTCAATAGCTATGTTAAATTACCAGAGGGTAATTGTTCGGAAACCATGACCCATTGGTTTCAAGGAGTTTTGGGTATGTTTCCAGATTTTCGTATACCAAATCCAGAAATCACATCCATCATCCATCGATGAACCGTTGAAGCCCTTCGTCATAGTAGGTGAAATCCTGGTAACTGGAGTTTCACTCCTTTTTTTTCCGAAGTTCATGTTTTTGCTAGGTGAAACACCTAGAAATTCTAGGTTGAACATAGTCATATACTTACAGTAAACCCGGTTTTTGTTTTGATTCCCCACCTGCCAGATAAAATGTCAGATAGAATTCCAAGCAATTCAACCAGCCCTTTTTGCTGCGCCATGGTGCCCACCATCCGCTGCGCCAAGGTGCTACAGTAATCAGGTCTTCCGGCGTCACACCCACGCTCTGCCAGGCCGCCTTCCAACCTCCATACCTACGGAGACTACGCACGGGGGCACGGCTGATCCATTGCTTGGGGATACCCTCTGGTAAACTAACATAGCTACTGAAAATGGCCATAGAAATAGTGAGATTTCCCATGAAAAATGGTGATTTTCCATAGTTATGTTAGTTTACCAGAGGGTAAACTATGTGGTGGTTTCCGAAAATAGAGGTACCCCCAGTCATCATCCATTTGATTTTCGGATGTTCCATGAAATTAACCATCCAGCTATTGGGGTACCCAATTATGGAAACCCTCATGTGTGTTCTTTAATGTTTCAGGGTCCAACTTTTAATTTACCAGAGGGTATAAGCCACATTGGGCGCCCTTTTTTGGATGATTCTCTACTCCCAAGCCATATGTAAGGCTTTTATAACTTGTTTTAATTTGTAAAGACATGTGGTAACTGGAGGTCATAATGTAAAATGAATGATAAACACCACCTGGGGATGGAATTCGTAAAATCATATCCAAAATCTCCATTTCACTGGGCCAAATTCGCTGAACAACCCTCCCCAGATTTCTTGGCACCGCTGGTTTTTTAATTCTTGCGAGTTCAAGTCCCAAATTTTGTTGGTTAAACCCAGTGAAAACCCCAAGAAATCGCCTGTTCCCAGTGAAATCCCAATCTTCCCCCAGTCGAAACCCCCGAAGACTTTGACCCAGGCGCTGCAAAATGGCCAGTGTCCGCAGGCGGGAGAGGCCAGCGGGGGGCGCGCAGACGGAGAGGGCCTGTTGGAGCTCCTAGCGGAACGATGTTGTGGGTGGGTGAGTTTGGTTCCCTCAACGAACTCATATTTTTCAAGATGGTTTTTCAACCACCAACCAGGTATTGTATATTTATCAATTTTCATTTACCCTCTGATAAACATACAAACAACGAACTGGAAAGATCCACCATTTTTAATGGGTACATCCACTATTTCGACTGGGCCATGTTCAATAGCTATGTTAGTTTACCAGAGGGCAATAAGAAGAACAATAACAAGCAAGATCTACTGTAAAATCCATCTTGCAAGAGCTTATGGGGATATGTACTGGTATATTTACTGGGATTGCAAAATGACATCAGTTGAATGGGATTCAATGGTCACCAAGAACATCGGGATTTTATGGGTTTTTTAATAGTATATTTACTGGGATAATACATGATAATACCCTCTGGGTAAACATCCAAAAAAAATGTGGAAAATCAACATGTTCAATGGGTAAATCAACGAATTAGATGGCCATGGCGTCAATAGCATGTTAGTTTAAGAAGAACAATAACAAGCAATATCTGTTGATGATATTTGATAATCATATCTATCATTGCAATAATATAAGAAAACATGTTTTGTTGGTGAAATATAAAATAGATATATAATGATATATACTGATAATGATATAGATTATCCTTTTGATTTGAATTTGCTGTGGTGACTTTGGGTGGACACAGTAACCAACCCAAAACAATGATAGTAATCTCACTATAATGATAGTAATAATAATAATCGATAATAATAATAGCTATAGTAAGAATAAAGTCACTGTAAAGGAATAAAGTCACTGTAAAGGTGCAAAAACATAGAATCCAACGTTGATGGAAATAGTGGTCCAACAAAAATACGTTGGTCACCAAAATTGTTTGTAAAAATATGAATGATTCATACTTTTTGGTGGATACAGTATGGACATTCACCATGCGAACATGACCCTCCGGTAAGTTAACATAGACCCTGGCAGATAGGGGTTGGAAGACTGGTTTCCACTAAAAATTGCTTATTGTCAGGGTCTATGTTAATTTACCAGAGCTTTATAGTAATAATAGTACGTAATATCACTACGTTTAATAATGACAATATTAATAGAGATATTTTGTTTGAAGGAAACGGTCGTGGGAATAATTAGCCAACAACAATACTAATTAGATTTATTTGGAATATCACAGGAAATTGTATCCAACTGAACGATATCAACCGCTGGAAATGGATTGGAAGTGTATTTTCATGATAAAGCTGGATGACATTTTTATGATGGTTAAACCCCAAGATGGTGCTCCCAGATTTATCAACCCAGTTCCCGTAGTTATTATCACCATAAACCCAATTCTTAGCCTACTCATAAACCAAGTTTCCACACTATGGGGCACCACCTTGTAGTTGTTGTAAACCAACTATCCAGTACCAATCCTCCATTAACCAAAAGAAACCTACCAGAAACCGCCCCCAACAGGCCCCTTGCTTTGTGGATTCGTAAATCTACAAACCGCTCCTCCTGATCAACAGCTCCATCTTGATGCGCATCACATGCTGCGAAGAGCGCCGCCAATCTTCGCTCGTACTCCTCGTCGTCGTCCACATCAGACATGATCTGCCGCTGCGGCAGGTTGCTTTAGAACATGTTGACATGTTGATTGATGTTCGAAGATATGGCTATAAGTCATGTAAAATAGCTGGATGATGCTGGATGCTTATTTCATGTTATTTCCCCCATTCAATCCCATTCATATGGTAATTTCATGGCTTTTCATCTTTGATATATCTGGATGAGTTAACGATGGTTATCCCTGAAACATAAAAAACCGGCCAGATCTCCAGCGGGGATCTCCAATCTGACTATGGGAATCCCCATGACTGGTGAATGACTGGTTACTGCAATAAATCAGGCCAAAGATATGTCAAGTAGACTTGGATGTGCATCCCACTTAGTGAATTGTTTATAATCTTTTAAATAACCCCTATAATCCCAATATATATATATATAATATAATATATATATATATTATATATATTTTATATATATATACTATGTGTGTGTGGTTTTTGTTCACCCATTTACGATCCGTTTTGCCTGCAGCCCCGCCTGGTGAAAGTTGCTGCGAAAGTCTTCAAAGAGTAACCTGATGGCCGAGCAATAGATCCTCTTCAAAAAAAACAAAAAGATAGGTTTAAAGAATATCCATCAAAGAAGTAATATCCAAGAATATCCATTCCCATGTTGTGTTTCTTTCATTCTCCCAGAATTATCCCATGAAAAAACATAACTAGTTGGTGGTTTCAACCCCTAGTCAGTTGGGATCATGGCATTCCCAAATGAATGGAAAGTCATAAAACATGTTCCAAACCACCAACCAGCTTCAATGGATTGGTTGAAGGGAAAATCGGAAACCCACCGATTTAAATTATTATTTAAAAAAAATGGAAGTTTCCGAGGTTTCCTCAATTTTTTTTGGCCTGAAAATAAGCCTTCATGATTCATGATTTTGATGTTGTGAATGCTGCATCTCTTTGGGAAAACTTGGGCTCCCCCCAACGGCCATTTCAGGAACCTAACTTGGTACCTTCCATGAAGCTTGATCTTTGAGGGCGAAATTTCAGAGGATCCAGTGGGCCTCAATTTCTAGAAACTTTTACAGATACAGTCGGCTTGAAATTGAATGATCATATATCATCATATGTCCATTTCCCATCATTTCCCTAGAATAGTCAATAAAGGTACCACGGAATTTAGATGGGAAATCACAGTTTCGGGTTCTTCAAAAAACTGGCCGAGACCCCCTGTTTTTTTCTTCGAGACACTTGGCCATGGCTGATTTGTTGGTCATGGAGGCTGCGAGGTTCAGTCGGGTGTCGAAGACGTGACTCATGGAGTGGTGCCGCGAGAGAATCTGATGTCCTTGGCAAAGATAAGCGTATCCCCATCTCATCAACTACCATTATATCCTAGCCGCAGCCTCGACTATTGTGAAAAAATCGCCTTCCCGGAAAATCCACAAAATGCCCAGCCCAACGACCTTTTTTTAACTCTTAGGCCCAGCATGGCCCAGCCCAGCCGAACCGTAGAGAAACTGTAGAAAAACCGTTGACAAACCAGTCACAAATCAAGGGACCGAAAACATAGGGCCCTCTGACCAAAAATGAGGGTTTTCTGCACAACGTTCTTGCAACGACGATTTCAACAATAGTCTTTGGACGTATTGGTGGTAAAACCTCTTCAAAAAGGGGATAGAACCAGCAAGAAAAAAATCTACGAATTGGCGTTTCATCTGCAAAAGTGACTTGGAACAAGAGCATCCCCCATTTTGGGAGATGAAGAGCCGAAGTTGATTGGCCAAAGTTTGCAGGAGATCCATTGGTTAATCTGTTCCAGTTGAATAAACCAAATGGAAAGTTGATCGTTTGAAAGTTTACCAAACGGAGTTGATTTAAATTTACCAACCAATCTGTTCCGCTTTCATAAAAAGAGTCCAAAACCTTCTTTTAAAGCGATGCTGAAGATTGGGCATATGATTCAACCACCAAAAATTCATCATTTTGGTTTCAATGCCAAATATCATCATAAATACCATCTGGTTATTTAACATATCACCATTTTTAAGTTCGGTAAACCATCTATTTCGATTGGGGCCATCATTTTCCATGGCGAACTGTGAATGTCATAACCAGAGGGTATATGGGTATGGGTCAAAATTAGGTACCCCAAAATTATGGATGGTTAATACTAAACTAGACTAACATCTGTGGTCCCACATCGGTCTTCCATTTTGACCCACATCCATATTCCCATGATGAAATCAGATTTTAGCTGCTGGAATCCCCACCAAAAAAATACCGTTTTTTCCGGAACAGCACCAGGTGTCAAATCTCGCTGTTCCTCATTTTCTGACCAAAACAATCCCCATGTTTCCCCCATGAAAAAAGGCTGTTTCAATACCAATTCGTTCCCAAATTCTCCGAGAATTCTATGGATGAGTTCAATATGTTCTCTATTTTTATGGACATGTTTGTTCCCCACCCTTCTGAGATTGGCTGCTTTATCTCCATCTTGCCTCCATTTGTCCGCCTTGAATGGCCATCTTTCATCATCTTTCCCACTTCCAATCTTATCACCATGTTTCTGACTGATTTCTATGGCGTAATCGCCATGTTTCATCCTTATGAATGTCACCTGTTCCATTCTTTTAGATGTTTTAATCCCAATGTGTCCCAAGTGTTTCCATCAAAAACTCCGAAAAATTCCCACATCCTTTTCCGTTGTCCCAAGATTTTCGCAGCATTTTCTCAGTTTTTTGCCCAATTCTTCAACAATTCCCCAGTTTTTCCCATTTCTCCCATGATTTTCCCTAGTTTTCGCCATTTTTCCCATGATTTTCCCCAGTGTTTCCCCATTTTTCCCATGATTTTCCCCAGTTTTCGCAATTTTTCCCATGATTTTCCCCAGTTTTCCCCAGGTTTTTCCATTTTTCCCGTTCCGTTCCACGGTTCCACGGTACCGAGGCGCTGAGTTCCCCCAGCGCTGCCTCCGGCAGGCCGCTGAGGCGCAGCAAGGCGGCGCTGAGAGGCAGGGCCCAGTGGAGGCCCATGGAGGGACGCAGGTGGACCTGGCAGAGACACCGGTGATTTGTAATGAATAGTGGATTAAAAATATTAGTAATAGGAGTAATTAATATAGAAAGTATAATTATAATATCTTAATTATTTTATTTATATAGTTATTAATAATTAATAATTAATATATTAGTAAGTAATATTTAGTAATAATTAATAGTAATATATTAATTTCTTACCTATTATATTACTTATACCAGTTACTTATTAATAAATATGAGTAATTTATATGTATTACTTATTTGTATATTAGTAAGTAATATTTGTAATAGGTAAGTAATACATGTGTAATTAAGTAATATATTTGTAATACAATGGAAGTAATATTAGTAAGGACTGATGATTAAGAATGTTATTTGTAAGTAATATGCAATATGAGTAATATTAAAAATGTTATTAGTAAAATTAGTAAGGAATGTAATGTTATTTGTACTATATTAATATAGCAAGTAATTAATTAATAATATCTGATATTAAGTAATATTAGTAATAGGTATATTGAATTATATTAATAGATATTAGGTCATATGTTATTTGCAATTAATACATGATAACTAGTTATTAAGTAATCAGATATATTGCTAATAACCGGTACTGTCAGTTATTAGTAATCAGGTTATTAATATTTCCGGTTATATTACTAATTAATAGGATATAATGTAAGTAATATTCGTAATATAGATTAAGAATAATATGATATTAAGGTTATTAGTAGGGACTGATGATTCCGTGTCTGTACAGTTCAAAAACAATCAACCAGGGTATAAGTGGAACCAAGAACCTATGAAATCGTAGGGTAGAACCTATGGAATCGTAGGGTAATGGTACTTTTTCCATCTATCTGCAATGGTATCTGACAGTAATATATCAGTAATATAGTAATGGTATGATAGAGGATATAACTATAGTTCGATGGGGCTATAAACCAACTTCTTTATAATAATGTTAGGAAATGTAATAAACTATATGATACCAGTAGTACCGCACAAGGCGGTGGCGGAAGTTTCAAAAATAGGAAACCTATAGGAGAGGTTGGTTGTTGTGAATCAGGGATGATGGATCGAAAGGTGCTTGAGGTCTCCTCTCTGTCTCTCTCTTTCTCTCACTATCTACCTACCTATCTATCTTCTATGTATCTATCTATCTATCTAGCTATCTATCTCTCTCTTTGTCTCTTTCATCTACTAACCTATCTACCTATCTACCTATCTACCTATCTACCTATCTACCTATCTACCTATCTATCTATCTATCTCTCTCTCTCTCTCTCTTTCATCTGTCTATCTGTCTAGCTGTCTACGTGTCTATCTATCTATCTATCTATCTATCTATCTATCTATCTATCTGTCTAACTGTCTACCTGTCTATCTGTGGTGCAGTGTCATTCAGTGTATTGTAGTGTAGTGTCATGTAGTGTAGTGTAGTGGAGTGTAGTGGAATGTAGTGTAGTGTAGTGTAATGTAGTGTAGTGTAGTGTAATTTCGTGTAGTGGAGTGTAGTTGTGTAGTCGTACTTGTAGTTGTAGCGTAGTGGAGTGTAGTGTAATGTAGTGAAATGTAGTGTAATGTAGTGTAGTGTAGTGGAGTGTAGTGTAGTGTAGTGGAGTGTAGTGTAGTGCGTGTAGTGTAGTGTAGTGTAGTGTAGTGTATGGAGTGTAGTGTAGTGTAATGTAGTGTAGTGTAGTGTAGTGTAATGTAATGTAGTGTAGTGGAGTGTAGTGTGTAGTGTAATTTAATGTAGTGTAGTGTGGTGGAGCGTAGTGTAGTGTAATGTAGTGTAGTGAAATTTAATGTAGTGGAGTGTAGTGGAGTGTAGTCTAGTTGTGTAGTTGTAGTTGTAGTGTTGTGGATTGTAGTGTAGTGTAATGTAGTGTAGTATGGTGGAGTGTGGTGTAATTTAACGTAGTGTAGTGTAGTGAAGCGAAGCGGCGAAGCGATATCTGAACCTCCAAAAGTGGTCCGAACCCCTAGTGCTTTGTACATTTTCACTTCGAAATGTGCTTCGCGCCACAACGGCGTGCACTTTTTCGACATCTGAACCTCCAAAAGTGGCGCGAACATATAGTGCTTTGTACATTTTCACTTGGAAATGTGCTGCGCGCCACAACCGCGCGCACTTTTCCAACATCCGAACCTTCAAAAGTGGCGCGAACATGTGTTGCTTTCTACATTTTGACTTCGAAATGTGCTTCGCGCCACAACGGCGTGCACTTTTTCGACATCGCAACTTCCAAAAGTGGTCCGAAGCTGAGGTGTTTTGTACATTTTGACTTGGAAATGTGCTTCGCGCCACAACGGCGTGCACTTTT